GTCATTTGTTACGGTTGAAAAGTCACTGAGCAATTCACAGACAGCTCCACTGGTTGCCAAGATTGCAACGCCGCCACCGCGTTTAGCAGTACAGTTTAAGAAATACGTGTGATATAAAGATAGCCGAAGAACTTCACTTTCATCAGAGTACCACGTCTCAGTTAGCATTATCATGTCAAAAGAAACATTCAACTGATTAAAAAACACTTCAAGGTCAGAAGATTTGTTTCGTGCAGATTGCGCGTTAAGATGAATACATTTTAAAGACTCATCCCGATCATCATCAATATGACGCGATAATTCATGTGGCAGAAAAAAAATGCGATCTGCCATTTTAGGATAACAACATAAGGAACGCCGTGTTTTACGAGTGGTCTATTTTACCCCAATCCTCTGTAGGTCGTCTTCGTCCTTCACAACGATAGCTCTGTCACCCGTTTTTTTGCGGACCAAAATGCTTCCATTGTGATGCCAGACGTAAGCATATTGTTTGTCACTTGCCCAATCTTTTGCGGTTTGAAGCAGAGCTCTGTTGTGCCTTGTTAAGTTCTCAAGAATGAATGGGCTAGATCGATCTCTGTTTAATTTCTTTTTGGCGTGCAGCCAGGCATCTCGTGTGCTCTGCTTCGTAAAACGAACGATAATGCCAGGCACCTTATCTGGCTTTCCGGGTAATCTGTGTGCTGCAGTGATATCAGTTTCAACGAGTGGCGCCAGTTCTAACTTTGCTGCTATTTCATTTACTTTCTGAAGCAAGTTTTCATTTTCGCTTTTGGCAATTCCGTGAAGTTCCAGGTTTAATTTTCTGCTTCTCCATTCGAGATCGTTCATTTCACGTTTCAGTTGTTTTATTTCGCTTTTCTGATTCTGATTTTCGATCGTTTCCATACGTTTTTGAATGTTTTTTAGTTCACTATCGTGTCGGTTCACTTTTTTGAGCAGGTCATCATAGTCGTCTGATAGGTGTTTGACAGTTTTCTCGATATTATCGACCGTCTCTTTTATCGTCATGAGCGAGTCTAGTTTCGTGTTCATATTCGCAAGCAGGCTCGCCATGTTGACCTCAGATTTCTGCTTGCGACCTTTGGACGTCTGGGATTTCTGCGGTTTACATGCGGAGCATAGCCATGCCTGTTTAAAACTGTCATCTTTCGTTTTGAACGCTTTGGCACTGATCCCGGAACATGCACCCAGGTGGAACGAGTAATCGCACTCCGAGCAGTTCAGCACTTCTCCAGTTTCAGGCAATTCCTCAGAACACGAAGGACATTCATTTTCCATCTATGAAGACGCTAAAAAGAAACCGCGCACGTACTTGTGAACAGAAAGAAGACAAAAATGGCAGCAGCAGCAGCAGTGACAATGGTTAGGTTAAATACATGCACGTAAAAAAGCCGTAAACCAACCTGCAAGTAGCGTGCGGGAGATGTTAGCTGGTTACAAACACCACACTGCCGCTGCTGCCAGATGATCCAATGGCGGCTTGTCTCCCCTTTTTGTAGTAGCTCCGTGGGACCCGTGCGCAGCCGATGGTCCGTAGTGATGGCGCTGCCCGTTGATGGTATCTTGTGCTGTGGCGTAATCTGGAGCGTGGCAGGATGATGATGCAGCCTAGGTCCTCGCCTTGTTTCCAGGGACAGTAGCAGTGCACTGATTCTGCAAGTAGCGTGCGGGAGATGTTAGCTGGTTACAAACACCACACTGCCGCTGCTGCCAGATGATCCAATGGCGGCTTGTCTCCCCTTTTTGTAGTAGCTCCGTGGGACCCGTGCGCAGCCGATGGTCCGTAGTGATGGCGCTGCCCGTTGATGGTATCTTGTGCTGTGGCGTAATCTGGAGCGTGGCAGGATGATGATGCAGCCTAGGTCCTCGCCTTGTTTCCAGGGACAGTAGCAGTGCACTGATTCTGCAAGTAGCGTGCGGGAGATGTTAGCTGGTTACAAACACCACACTGCCGCTGCTGCCAGATGATCCAATGGCGGCTTGTCTCCCCTTTTTGTAGTAGCTCCGTGGGACCCGTGCGCAGCCGATGGTCCGTAGTGATGGCGCTGCCCGTTGATGGTATCTTGTGCTGTGGCGTAATCTGGAGCGTGGCAGGATGATGATGCAGCCTAGGTCCTCGCCTTGTTTCCAGGGACAGTAGCAGTGCACTGATTCTGCAAGTAGCGTGCGGGAGATGTTAGCTGGTTACAAACACCACACTGCCGCTGCTGCCAGATGATCCAATGGCGGCTTGTCTCCCCTTTTTGTAGTAGCTCCGTGGGACCCGTGCGCAGCCGATGGTCCGTAGTGATGGCGCTGCCCGTTGATGGTATCTTGTGCTGTGGCGTAATCTGGAGCGTGGCAGGATGATGATGCAGCCTAGGTCCTCGCCTTGTTTCCAGGGACAGTAGCAGTGCACTGATTCTGCAAGTAGCGTGCGGGAGATGTTAGCTGGTTACAAACACCACACTGCCGCTGCTGCCAGATGATCCAATGGCGGCTTGTCTCCCCTTTTTGTAGTAGCTCCGTGGGACCCGTGCGCAGCCGATGGTCCGTAGTGATGGCGCTGCCCGTTGATGGTATCTTGTGCTGTGGCGTAATCTGGAGCGTGGCAGGATGATGATGCAGCCTAGGTCCTCGCCTTGTTTCCAGGGACAGTAGCAGTGCACTGATTCTGCAAGTAGCGTGCGGGAGATGTTAGCTGGTTACAAACACCACACTGCCGCTGCTGCCAGATGATCCAATGGCGGCTTGTCTCCCCTTTTTGTAGTAGCTCCGTGGGACCCGTGCGCAGCCGATGGTCCGTAGTGATGGCGCTGCCCGTTGATGGTATCTTGTGCTGTGGCGTAATCTGGAGCGTGGCAGGATGATGATGCAGCCTAGGTCCTCGCCTTGTTTCCAGGGACAGTAGCAGTGCACTGATTCTGCAAGTAGCGTGCGGGAGATGTTAGCTGGTTACAAACACCACACTGCCGCTGCTGCCAGATGATCCAATGGCGGCTTGTCTCCCCTTTTTGTAGTAGCTCCGTGGGACCCGTGCGCAGCCGATGGTCCGTAGTGATGGCGCTGCCCGTTGATGGTATCTTGTGCTGTGGCGTAATCTGGAGCGTGGCAGGATGATGATGCAGCCTAGGTCCTCGCCTTGTTTCCAGGGACAGTAGCAGTGCACTGATTCTGCAAGTAGCGTGCGGGAGATGTTAGCTGGTTACAAACACCACACTGCCGCTGCTGCCAGATGATCCAACGGCGGCTTGTCTCCTCTTTTTGTAGTAGCTCCGTGGGACCCGTGCGCAGCCGATGGTCCGTAGTGATGGCGCTGCCCGTTGATGGTATCTTGTGCTGTGGCGTAATATGGAGCGTGGCAGGATGATGATGCAGCCTAGGTCCTCTCCTTGTTTCCAGGGACAGTAGCAGTGCACTGATTCTGCAAGTAGCGTGCGGGAGATGTTAGCTGGTTACAAACACCACACTGCCGCTGCTGCCAGATGATCCAATGGCGGCTTGTCTCCCCTTTTTGTAGTAGCTCCGTGGGACCCGTGCGCAGCCGATGGTCCGTAGTGATGGCGCTGCCCGTTGATGGTATCTTGTGCTGTGGCGTAATCTGGAGCGTCGCAGGATGATGATGCAGCCTAGGTCCTCGCCTTGTTTCCAGGGACAGTAGCAGTGCACTGATTCTGCAAGTAGCGTGCGGGAGATTTTAGCTGGTTACAAACACCACACTGCCTCTGCTGCCAGATCATTGGCAACAATACCTCACTGACACCGTTGTAAAATGACGACAAGAAACGAAAGAAGGTGGAGACGGGCGGGCGAGGAAAGACCAAATACAAAGACATGAGCAACGCTGCGAGCCCTGTAAGCAACACGCGACCCGCCGAAAAAAACAAACTAAAGTACCTCCGGGTTTGTTTGTTTGTTTTTTTTGTGTTTTTTTTTTCGTGCGCGTTTGCAAGGAAGAGGAATGGAACGCATAGGAGGGCAAAGTGCATGGCGCATCGCGTTCCTCTCCCTCTCCTTCCCCCTTGCCCAGCGAGGGGAACGCTACAGGCATGATGGCGAAACCCGACCAACCCGACGCCGAGGGAATGTGCGCGAGAGCCGTAGCCGGCGGTGGACACGGGCTGCCGGCTGCTGCTGTTCGGTTGTTTTTGTGCATCAAAAGCTTTTTGAAACAAGAAGCCGCGCGGCTCTACCGGGACGCCGGCTCGGTGATTGATAGCTCCATATCCTCTGTAGGGTTTCAAATTTTGGTCGCGAATTAGGTCGAAATTTTTTGGTCACGATTATAGGTCGACCCTTAATTTTTGTTAACATTTCCGAAAAAAAAAGGTCGACCTATATTCGAATAAATACGGTAATTGGGACATCTACAAAATTGCTGCCATATGATTGTTCAGTAAATAAATAAATATCTGTAGAGGCCAGGTCCCGTGTAGGTATAACACTTTAAATAGCCTCCCAGCACTCCAACAACTGCAGTTTTTTTTTTCCACGGAATAACTTTCCAAGAGATTGTATAAAATTTTCTGACACGAAAGCTCAAAGTTGTCTGCCCCAAAAGTGGGAATCTCTGCTCCGATACCCGTTTTTCCCTGGCACAAAAGCTGGTCCAAATCACCACTTGCATGTTTGTTTTTACAGTGGAGCTGTTAAGGGCTAGGTTCCCCAGGATCGTGTCCGGTATGTCGACACGAAACCACCTAGACAACTACCGCCATCTATAAGCGACGGCGGCAAGCACACAACCAGTATGGTTTTCACCGTCGCTCGTAGATGGCGGCAACCTTTCCAGCTATAATAGAAGAATGGATAGTTGGGCACTTGGTGGGAATTCATTGTAGGAAACGGTGCGAAAAACAGACGACGACGAAGAAAAAGCACACAGTGTATCGAGTACAGCTCCGCTGGTCTTCCTTCTTCACGAGAGTGGAAAGGCTGAACGATTTTGTTTATCGTTAACTATCCTGTTTGCTAGCATCTTCCAAGTATCGGAAGACAGCTGGGTGCAATGTTGGCAGGATCCTGGAGGTGCTGCCGAGGCTGCTGGCAAGCAGGTATCGTGGTGCATACACGTCGGTTGCAGACGTCGTGGGCCTCACGCTGCGCAAGATGAGTGAGGCCGGCATCGCTACGGAGGATTCCGCGTTCGAAGGCAGCGTGGCGTCTCGACTCGATGGGCTCCTGGCGGCACACCGAGACCAGTTCGTGCTGTGCGTGCGAAACGTCTGCCGCTTCTACCAGCCCCTTGCTCTCAGGTGAGAACACGTGCTCCGTGACACGTTTGCACATTGGATTGTGCAGTGCATTAAAAGTCTCTCCTAAAAGCTTTGTCATAGTCTCGGACGTTTGTGTAGCGAACGTCTTGAGGTTTCGAAGGACAAGACTGGACCTACGCGGCTGATATTTGGGGGAAGGGCCAAAAAAGACGAGAATGAGACAATGCCCTGTATTGTATTGCTCGCCTCGTTCTTGGCTTTTTTTTTTTTTCGGCGCTTTTTCAGACAACAGCGTAGACCAACTGGCTCAGTTATTTATCGGCCGTGTGTGCCTATTTGCTACCCAGATAGGAAGTCCTTTACTTTTAATGCTGTGCGGTTGATTCCCGCAACGCAATTTCCAGACCAAAAGATGGCAGTGCTGGCGTTTTCAACGTAGATAGAAACAGCTGTATGCGCTTCGATATGGCGATTCCACATAGTAATGTGGAATCGCCATATCGAAGCGCATACAGCTGTTTGAGGACACTTAAGACTTCTTACGCATATAGGAATGTGAAAGCATTCATACACGCAGCGCATCCCTGCAAGCAGTGCGCCCCGCTGTCCTGCGCAGAGGCTGGCCGGGCAGCGCGACATGGCTGAAAGCGGAGCGTAGAACACGTGATACAGTAGTGCATGGAGAGACGGAGGGAGAATTTCTCGCTCTCCCTCTCCACTCCTGACACGTAACCCAAGAGGGAGAAGAGAGCGGCGGCCGCATGCACGCCACCCTTTCCCTTTTACTGGCTTGCAGGCTGCAGTGCCAGGAAGAGGGCTTCTCTGTGGGGTGGCGTTCCTTGGAACTATGACGCGTCGCAGCCAATGGAAATTTATTGTTCGTTTTGCTCAGCCAGAATTTAGGTGCCGTTTTTCGTGGTTACAGATAGCACCAGCTGCACTCCACGAGACAGTTAATGCTTTCGGATTAAAACGATTTCAACTGGAAGGCGACCTTTGTTTCAGTTGTCATCTTTCTGGCAGGTTCCTGGATAAATTGATGCTGCTGCTTCCACGGGCATTGGCAGACTTCAAAGTGGCCGTCTTAGAAGTGCTCTCCCTCTGCTGCCACCAGATGGAGCAACCGGTTGGACGGCTCCAAGGGCTCGGATTCCTGGAGTTGCTAGCTCATGGGTGCGTCACTCCAGCCTTTGTCTTGTCATCTTTACTTTTCCGCTTAACTGAAGCTATTGAACTGCGCTGTTGTCAGGACCGGATGGTGTACCTATTCCCGGCGTCTGCGATGTGAACTCTCAAATAGTCTTAACAGAGAATACGCCAACCAAATTTAAAAAATGCTGCTCACGTGACGGCCATCATGCTGATGTCACTATCACGTGACCTGATGTCGCATTAGGTGCGCTTTCGTTACGTCAAGGGGTTGGTGTATGTCATGTAACACGAGCCCCTTTTAGGTGAAGATTTAGTGATGCATGTGACTTGGCTCCGCGTGGCGAGCTGGAGTCAGTCTCGCCTCTGCACTCGATCCAGCTGTTTCGCCGACATCGACGTCTGCGACGCTAACCCTCTTCTATTTTGTTTTGTGCGCAAGTTTTTCCCATTAAAATGTTTAGTTTCCCCAATTATTCGCCACCTCATCATTTGTCATTCGTGACAATATGTCACGTACAAATAAAAACCTTTGCGAGCATAAATACCCTGTCAATGTCCCTTTGAGGCAGGAGTTAAATTTGAAGACGTACCAGATCTACCATAGGCTAATGAAGTACCAGAGCTAGGCTAATGAAATATACGCCAGCTTTCTACTTTGTTAAGAAGGTAAACTGTACAAAGTATGTAGCCTTTCTGGTAATTAGTCTATAAATGAGAAAATTTTGCATGTGGCTAGTTTGTACAAGCTCCTCGGATCTTGTAACACAATGTATCATGATAAAACTTGGATGTATAATGCCCCAAGTTATGCCTTCTGGGGCTGAAGCTATAGACCCTTTGCAAAAATTCCAAAAGCCCGCGCGCGCCACGCGACGAATAATGGGAGTCCTTGGTACACCCCCCCTCCCGCTACCACGTGACCACGTGCCATACACGAGCAGGCGCAGGTTACCACGGCAACAACTTTTGAGCAGCCGAGTCGGGTGAGCGACGAGCCAACGGCTGCCTCTTTTTCATCCCTCACCTTTGTACTGGCTCTGTCGTCTGCTGCACCAACGCTATGTCGAACCTGGTCGAAACCTGCCACGGTTCCAATGCAAAATAAGTGGATTCGGTGACACTTCAATACGGGAACACAAGTTAGGACGAATAACGTATTCAAGTTAGTTCATCTGTCGCGATGCCTTTACGCTGCCATAGATACGGTATGCCGCCAACGATGTACGACTTGGCAGAAGGGCGGGATGGCAGATGGCTGCAACGACTGCTGGCGGTAGCTGCCGGGACGCGCGCGCAGTCGTGGTGGCGCAATGAGAAAGCGCGTAATTTGTACCGAGGGTTCCCAAAATTCTCTGCCGTCACGGCGCTCTACGTTTTGCAACAGATATATTAGCTTCAGTTTTAGATGGTTCATTCCTTCGCGCACGCAGCGACGAAAAGATGCAGACCGTCTTGCTCGAGATCTGCACCAAGCTGGTTGGGGCCGCGACGGAGGAGGACTGGGGTGCCATCTTGCCCGTCGTCTGCCAGCTGCAGGGGCACACCAGCGGTCCTTGCCGCAAACTGGTCTACGACGTCTGCATGCGGCTCTATGCCAAGTACAGGTAAGTCTCCGGAGGGCAGCTTGTGACTTCGAGTAGGATTGACCCACCATATAGGCTACGCTAAGAGGACCCTCGGAACACGGGGGTTCCCCAGGATAAACTCGAGGTACTGCCTCAATCAAAGTGTTTTCCCAGTTTGAGGACCATTTTAGCTGATTCCAGCTACGCATTGAGGCATAACTCTGAGCCAAACATCTGCTAGTATATGTGCATATCTGTTTACAAGGTCTGTAAGCTCCTGCCTGCTTTATTGCATTGTCGAAACCGGAAAGGGCTCTTTGGCAGTCATTCGTGATAGAGAGAATCCCTGGCTTAGAGGAAATCGCCCTGGATTGACAGAACCCTTCCTGGCCTTGGCATTGATACAAGAAAGCAGTTCAGAAGCCTCGCATACAGTCTCATTATAACAGACCTGGTTACAAAAGACATTTGGATATAACATACCGATTTGTGAAGTTTGGTTGGTTTTCATCTATGTACCATTGATTCAACTTCATATCTGCATACAACATACTCCTTTTACAACAGACCAAAATCTTAGTCAAAATCAAGGTCTGTTATAACGAGCTCAGATTGTATAGGGGGAAAGCCTGTACCCTTGACCTTAGAACGAATGACGGCGAGGTATCGGTAAAAGAGAGAGGAGGGACGGCAGGCGAGAAGGGAAACATCTTGAAGGCAGCGCCACATAGGGGTCGTAAGGCGAACCACTCTTTTCACGTGAAACATGCTTTGTCTTGTTTTGGGGGGTCTAGAAATTTGTGAAGCCATCGATTAATGTGATACTAATTGGCTGAGCCAGGTGATGACGTCACAGCTCCTAGCTCGACGCCGATATTGGCTGATTCAGGTTCTGGAAGGGTGCCAGGGGTTTAAATCCCGGGTTGTATCTCCATTCCAGGAGTCGTTATTGAGTGTACATGCCACGTGTTAAGCCAGTCGCTGAACTAACTGATGGTTTGTGCCGAGAACATAGACGTCAATTTCAGAGGAACTGAAACCACACACTTCCTGTGCAGCACAATGGCCCAGCAATTTGCTACGCATTTTCTTTTTGTACTTTGCGAGATAAATGTTAGAAAAAAATATGGGCGGCTACTTTGGGAGTATGGCGATGCTCTGAGGGACTGGGAGAGGAGGGTACGTCGTAAGTGGGCGTAGCTTGTGGAAAAAAAAAAAGGTAATGTTTTTTCGCAAAAAAGACAAGAAATCTGCTACAAAATGTTTTGGTGGCACCAGCTTCTGGGTGCTCCTCTGTGATGAAGGAGGAGCGGTTAGGACACGAGCAGATGACGCGCTACGTAGTCGCGTGGAATGGCTATGTTGCTTCGCATCTGTACCTACTTATAACGGTTATTTATTGAAGAAACTTGACATTTTGGTCAGTGCTTTTTCTAGTGAGGTACAGTGCCTCCAAGCTGCTTTTATATTACAAACTTGAAAATGTTCAGAAACCAGCCTGGAGGCAGCTTGCATTGCGTGCATCACGGCTATTCATGGCGTCTATGATTCTTGTTCTGTAGGATCTGTGGATGCTTCTGTAGAAAAAATGTTTTGCAGTCGCCATAGTGTAGGACATCTGTCATTACAGCTGTGCACGTGTGCACCCTGTTGTATTGAGTGGCGTCGCACACTTGTTTCAGCAAGATCGAGCTTGTCGATACCTACGTTTCTATCCTTGTGTTTTTTTACAATGACTGACAAGCATTTGTGCGGCACTGTGCGAACCAAGTCTAAGCAGTTGTTGTTCTTTTATAATGGCGCTTTTATCTCCCGCATCAAATGTTTGGCAGAGGAGTTTGCACAATGAGACTTCTGCTCAAAAGAAAAACACAAATTCCTATAACTTCCAGTCACCCAAGGCCCGACAAATTAAGACGACTGATTAATTTGTTCTATTCAATCTTCGCTAAGAATTGATTACAAGTTTACAATCGCTCACTGAGAAGCGCATCAGACATTTTGCGCAATCCTTTGGGTCCACAAAATGAAATGCACGAAGGGGCTTCATTTTTTGGGACGTTCAAGTGTCACCAACTTACTAGATCTAGCAGGTCTCGGTCATGGAAGGGGTTTCACTCTTCGCTTCTACTGGGCGGATAAACAGGGACTTAGGACTGGGAACCAGCCGCTGCCCCTTCCAGCCAGTTGTTTTGAGTTTTGTCTACTGGGTATTAAAAAAGGAATCAATTTGGAAGCATAATAAGAGATCGGCACTTACAGAAGACAGTGGAACCAACAAGATTCATGAAGTTGCTTTCGCTGAAGTGTTTACTACACACATGGAAGGTTCTCGAGTTTCAGCTTAATGAGACATTCCTTTGTTTGGTTTCATTTCGTCCGAATAATAATAAGAAATGTTTGCCCTGGGTAGGTGTTGTACTGGGGCTCTGGATATTTTGTTATAAATGTCTGGCTTTGACTCTGGGGCATCGGAAGTGTTTGCTAGTACAACTATGCATTTTGCATCTTGAAGCTGCGATAAAATTTCCTACCACAAATACCACTTGACCAAATAAGCGGAGCAGGTGAAACAGGTTTTGCTGTATTACCCCAGCAATGCAAGAAGTGAGCTTACGAGCCGAGAGGAGGGATCCATGATCTGTGTGGTCAGTGCCACCTGTAGTTTGCACTTGCCACCATTAGGGGAGAGTTTGGTAAAGTGGATCTCTGAGGGCACTGCCACCTTTGTGTCCTCGTTCTGTCTCCCAGTTTTGGCAGATAGTGCTGGTGTTGAAGGTGCAGGCTTTCCCCCCAAATAGGAGGCTATGGCGAAAGCCTACAGGTTCTCAGAATAATAATTCACATACAGTCGAACCTCGATACATCGAACTGCGCGGTGATGGCGAAATAGTTCGATACAGTTAGAATTCGATATATTAAATCACATCAAAAACGTGTCAAAAACTTGTTAAAAGCGCGTGGCTGTCGCGCTTCACGAAGCGCCGACAGGCGGCACATGCGCGCCGATCGACCGCAAAGGCGGGAGCAGCCGCATTAAATATCTGGTGCGGCTCATGCTTGGCGAGAACCTGGGGCCACTCTGGATCAAGCCACTTCTTGATTTCCTCTTCATTGGCGTCCTCACTTTCTCCCGAGACTGTCTTCCCGACAATGTTAAAGCGGGCCTTAAAACGTTGCAGCCAACCGCTACTGGCATTGAAGTTCTCGGCGCCGAGAATGAATGCAAAGGTCTTGGCCTTCTGTTGTAACATCGGTCCGGATACAGGAATATTCCGGGCCCTTGCGTCGATGAACCATTTGTGCAGTGACTTCTCAACACCTTCAAAGGCAGCTTCGCGTACACGCCGTGCGCCTGAGTGCTGGTTCTGTTCTGCCTCGGCCTTTATGTCACTCTTGTTTTTCAGTAGAGTACTCAAAGTGCTTCTTGGTAGGCCTAAAGCTTCGGCGACGCTCGACTTTTTTTCTCTATTCTCAACCCGCTGGATAGCTTCCAGTTTGGCAGCAAATGTCAGGGACGTCCATTTTTTAGCGTTTGGAGCCATCACTCACGCAAGGCAACATGACACACGAAAGAACTACGATCACATGCGTAGCACTACCGATAATACCGAGGAGGAGGAGTCTGTGCGGCAAGTGCAGTGCGTCGTTGATGTTGCGACCAGAGTTGGTCGTGGTTGCGACGAACTATCCAGGCAGCGGCGTGCGTGCGCCGTTACGTTCAAATGGCGCCCTCGGTGTGTGTGTAGGCAGTCGGAAGCGCCCGTTGCGCCACCGCTATCTTCGAGGGTGTTGCGGGAAAGCTCGGCGCCTGTCTAAAGAGCGCGGGCTGTTTGGGGTGGCGGAGTTCGATATATCCATTTTATGCCCGACCCCGTTCGAAATCAAAAATAAAAAATGCACGCGATTTTCCACCTGATATAGAAAGCGTTCGATATAGGCAATAATTCTATATATCCGTGTTCGATATATCGAGGTTTGACTGTACTAGGGAGTGATTGGCTCACGATTATGCATCAGTGGGTGGTACACTGTAGTTGTGGGCAGGATTGTAGTGAGAGCCAGAACCTTTTTCTAACCATTAATGGGAGAAATGTGTACAGTTGGGCAAGGTGGACCACAGGCTTGAGGGACCACAGGCCCCTTGAGCCTGTGGGCCCTAGTGCCTGTGTGGCCAACACTCAAGCTGATCCCGTGCTTTCTGTACCTCTTCTTTCGTCATTACGTGAGTTGGGAGTGTGCGCTTGTCTGTTGTCTACGTGTTCCTTTTCTCTGTCCCTGTCCTTTTGTGCGCAACTGTAACTGCATACTATTAATTGGTACATTTATCTTAGAAGAGGTAAAAATAAATGTTTAATAAAGGGTGTGGAAATGGAATTTTCTTGACACCTCGGTGAAAGATGTGAATGCCAGTTATTGTGTCTCTCCTACGACCGTGCATTGCTGCTATGTCTTTGCTTAAAAAGATATCATTTTCAGGTCCAAGACCAGCGCTGCTGGCCTGGCAAAGCAGTCGAAGCACATTCTTCTGGTCGGTCTCGGTGACCCCGAAGACTCTCTGAGGTAAACTCCGAGCACTTGCCTTTTTGACGTGTCTCATAAAGTGACTCGGCCAAAGAGAGAGAAAGGGAGTTTTACTATTTGTATGCCTCCTGTTATTTGAGCACGCTCTCGAATCATTTTCATACCATCGGTTTCCAAGTTTCAAAGCTCGATGCTGGAATTCCCTCTCTCAAATACCGAGTATTGATGCCCATTTCACCGGGATGGCTCATCCTGGTCTATGAAGGAAGGAAGAAAAAGCAGCAGCAGCTGGCTTGAAAGAAATTAACGGGTATTAAAATATTAGGGTGGGCGGATATGCATGTCAGAAATAAATAGTGCGAGGATCAGTGTGTACCAAATTGTCACTGTGTACTTGACCTTTGCATTGTTTCTTTCTAATAAGAAATCAGGAAGGGGCTGAAAAGGAAAAAGGAGATTTCAGCCCCTTCTTGTTGATTTCCTTTCAAGGTAGCTGCTGCTTGTTCCTTTCTTCATAGGATGAGCGGCCGCAGTTAAATTGGCATTAACACATGTCCTTTGCTATTTGAAAAAGCTGTTTGTGTTGTCCCTGTAAGTGTATCTTCTTTCGTGTCTTCTGCATTTCATCTCCAACGAATTCCCTTCCACATAGTCTTCCCTCAAACGCAAATTTTTGGCAGAAATCTAGGTGGTTGAGGAAAGGATAAAGGGGTACACGGCCTCGAATTACCAATTTTTTGCGAAAAAAGATTGATTTTGAAAATTGCAGAATTCCGGCATGTACAACTAATAATGAGCACCCTGACAGTGTTTTATCAATGTGTGTCGAGAAACTATGGCAGAAATAATCTTTATTGACTCGTCGGTAACGCCCATGAGGTGTGCCATGCTTGGCCGGGCACGACGAGAACCACGACAAGCATCAGTTTTGAAGCACGGTAGCCCTCGTCGCGTGGTGCGGGTAGTCTCGTTTGAAGCGTCATTTTGCGGGCTTTCGACTTTACTTTTTTATTGATTTCTTTACCCGTCCGGGCACGGGGGAGAGCCCCATAGAAGCGCTCAGCCGACTGCCTGTCGCGTGCCCTCTGCCTCGTCGTCTTTCACCCCCGTCTCCCATAGTTCGTGACGTCACGGCAACAAATTTTCTACTAAATTTGGCAGGGAAACTGGATTGTTAAACACTCTCAGCAAGTCACTCGTTCATGACGCTTTTTTCACAGAAAACAACCCATAAAACGCATCCTGTGCTAAAAAAAAAAAGCATGGGTGCTTACAAACTTCCTTACATCTCTGGAGGTTTGCACCTCTGATCGGAACACTTTTCAAGCTCAGGTTTAAATCACGTTAAAACACCACAACCAGTTGGCATTTTTTTTTACAATACCCTCAAGGCCATGAAGTGTTAAGGGGAGTGGGTATTAGTTGCAAAAAATTCATTATTCCTTCGCAAAATTGAATGCGGTCTTCAATGGTCACAATGTCTTCAGGAAGGCCATTTCAGACCATAATGGCATTGGAGAGAAGTGTGCATTGGTAGGGCTGGGGAAAAAAACTGTTGCCGGGTAATTGTATTGCTATGATCAACCCTAGAAGAAGAATAGTTTGGTGGAGAGAGCATACACTGGCTTAGTAAGGGAGAGTAAAAAAAATTGAGAGCTCTTCAACCCTATGAAGAGGGAAGTTGAGCGAAGCTGGCGCTCTGGTGGGATTTGTTATGTCGGGCTGGGTGGGAGCAGCGGCAATGGCGGTTTCACATTGGTGGCATGCACGTTCTCGCTTCTGTGCGCACCGACGCTCCTCGTACTTGCGCTGCTCCTCTTCGGAACGTTCAACTTGGGTGCGACCCATGTGAAGTCCAAAGTCCAACTGAAAAGGACAGTGGCGCGATCTTCGACAGGTGGCCACCGAAGAGCGTGCGGCATTGCGCAATGTCAACGGGAGAGAGACGCCGCGCGTGAAGAAGGCACGCGCGTGCATTGTTGGCATCTGCAGCATTAACTGCTGTATAAAGCAAAAGCCTGGAACAAATGGCATCTTGCACGCGTGTTCACCAGCGCTTTATTTTGGTCATTTACTTCGAATCTTTTATACAGGGAAGGTGCGCACGTGCGGTTCCGGTATCTGCAGCATTAACTGTACAAAATCATTGGTCTATGCTCGGTCCCACCTCAGAGACGATCTGCCAGAACCTAGCCATAGACAGCTTCGCTGTAAAAGCTTTCTGTAAAGGGGATGGTCATGTTTGTGGCTGATAGACATTCTCGGTCGAGCAAGAATGCATCTATACATACTTTAGTTTGTTCACTGTGAAAGCAGCAGAATGGAGGTGGTTTCTTTGACTTTGGAATAGAATCTGTTATACAGGCGTTTGACTGTAGTGGCAGGTTGTATACTGTACCAGTTGATGGACGCTGTAGTGGCAGGTGGGACCCTGCAGTGTAGGGTTGGACACTAGTGGCAGGCAAAAGTTTGTATGGTGAGCGGGACACTGGTTGAGCCCTGTGGTGGAGGGTAGGAAGTAACCAAGGGGAACTGGCGGCTGGTACACAATAGTTGGGCAACAATGGAAAACTCATGGTGGGCCTCACCGTTTCTGGGACTTTAGGGGTTAGCGAAGCACCGGTTGCAGATGGTATGTCCAGTGAAACCCAGTCTCGTTGCAATTGATTCCTCTGTTGCCGAGGGTGCTGGCTTTCCTGAGCAGAAGTGTTCCTGGCAGGCTGTCCGTGGCCAACTTTTGGAGCCAGGAGACGCAGCTGCCGCTGAAGGCGCGAGAGCGCCTGGTGGCGCTCCTGGCCGGGATGTACTCTCCGGAGATTGAGGACCACTTCCTGTCCTCGGTGACCTTCCTCCTCCTGGAGCTGGCCTCGCGGAGCCCTGACTACGGCCGCAAGCTGTTTCCCCGGCCCCTCTCCGACTGCCGCTTCGTGGTCTGTGGGCCCTTTCTTTGTTTGCCATTCTGGGGCCGCTGCTTCGCATTTAGAAACAGTTGTGCTAACTTTTCTTCTCGCTAACATTACCCACTCTCTTAACATTTTTTGCACAGATTTTTGCGGGCTAGCATCTCCGGGGAAGGTGTGACAGAATGCCACAAAACACGGCCACAAAATATGGGACACAGATTCCAGGGAAAGTGTTAAGTTTCAGCATAACGTTTAATGCATGTCAAGACATGGTTACAAATTGGTTACAAGCAGACCGCCTTGGTCCGCAAACAGAACTGATTCTCCCCGCTAGCGCACCACCTTTTAACAACATGGCCACCGCTGGACCAACGCCACCAAGCGCCCGCCATAGCCACGGTGGTGCGACTAGTCGGACCACAACGGAAAGAGGACATAATAATGAGGGCAATATATTGACAAGAGAGGACAAAATTCCGAACCTCTCCAAACGAGAATTGAGCCCAGAAATCTGAGCCCAGCGCTCTATCGCTGTGCCAAGTGGTAGATTTGCAAAGTGATACTTTCTGGAGGTGTGTGGGTAACCACATGATCGTATCGCGTGATTTAAGTTTCACAGGAGAGATTAAGAAAAACCGCTGGAAAGTGGAGACAGGTGAAAAACACGCATTCTGTTTGCCGAATTGATCGTTAGAATTGAGGTAAATCAAGCATTTGGATATAGATAGACTAGTTTTTGCGTCGTAAATGTATAAACGATTTGCCGAGGCTTCTCATCTCAGCAACCTACCTTTGCTTCTTTTCTTTTATAAGTCCTTCAGTAAACAACATGTAGTATTGCTAGAGGTATGTATATTTGGAAATTTAAATGATTCACATATAGTGCTTGCTATTAGAAGTTTTGGAGTTCTTCAAACATTCAAAAATTACTAATGTTTTCAGAATTTTCCAATGTCTCGCATCAAGTTTCAATGATTGCACCAGTATTCTGGTGCCAAGATTCACCACTTCGCACTGGCGCACGTGCATCAAACTTTACTGCTATGCACCTGTGTGCTAGTAGGAACGGCTAACGTGTCGGAGCATTTCGGTTAGCTAGATTGTCTCCAGTCAACTGAGATGATTTTAAAGAGCACTGCCAGAAAAGTAAATCTCGAGCTACATTCAAATAAATAAAAAGTAAGCCGATCCCAGAGGCACTACAACACCAGGCCAATTAGTGGCAAAGGTAAAGCAAGCTTCAAGCACTTTGCCGCTTGGAGTCCATGTAGGACCTAGCGTAAAATATGAGGGGAGCGTTCACCCCACTTTCACTGCAGAAATTGGGTTAATCTAGACTTGGGCTCTTGTCCGGTCAAATCGGATGCTTAAACTATAAAGACCCGTTCACACACTTGTAACCAACCACGACTAAAGGGGTGTCCAAACAGGACACTACAAAACTCACGACTCCGGCAAATCGTGCCGCGCTCTGCCGCGATCCGCTTCCGGTCGTCGGAGGGAAATTTCCCTCCGTCAATTCTTCCCGGGGGGAAACTTCCCTCCGTCAAATCTCCCCCTCGCTTCCTCCACGGCGGCCTTGCTCTGCTTATCACGTGGGTCCGGAGAGCCACTCACACGCTCTGTTGGCTGTCGGTCAATCGCTCAAGGCCTCCGCTCGCAATACGGAACCGCATCGGACGCCATCGCGACGAAAGTGAATCTCGACAAAGAAAGCAGATCCGAGGCGGGCGAAACGCACCCTTCGACGCAGGAATGTCCCAAATCCACCCAAAGCCGGACCTCCTTGGCCTTCGAGCCGAGGCGACGGCGGTACGCGAGGGCGTTGGCGAGGTGAGCCAGACGCAGGTGGCGTGTGACGTCAAATCTGACGAGGAGAGCAGTCGTGATCGTAAAAGTCTTCACGACTCCTGCAAACATTTTCACGACTCCGACAGACCGCAAAAATAGAAGCGTCCGCTTCAATTTTTACGATTCGCCGGAGTCGTGAGTTTTGTAGTGTCCTGTTTGGACACCCTTTAAAAGAGACAAGACCTGTTGAAACCTCTCAAAATTCCTTAGGACGAGAAAACACGCTGGCGCCACCTATGCGGTGACCCCGGAACTACATTTCACAAGCGAAAGTTTTGCGAGATTTTCGAGGTCAAATGTGCGTAATACCTACGAGGAAGGCTCTTTTATAACGTTGGCAGAAGTTTTTTGAGCCAAGAAACAAAAAATGATGCGCGAGAGAAATAGAAAATAAGCCGGACCGCCAACTTTACACTGGTGCCCAATAGATGCTGCCGGTGTGTCCTCTCGTCGTAAGAGGTATTAAGAGGTTCCAAGGCACTTGGTTCTAAGGGATTGCAAGTGTATGAACATGCCTAATTTGCAGAATTCTCAAGTTCGGGAAATGTTAATTGTGGGCTCTTGAAAGAAGTTGGCGTTTCTGCGGTATTTTAGGAGATGTTGACGATTTCGACTCTTTCAAACGAGAAAGGGACTACACTGCATTATCAGGGCAACTAACAACCTGGAAAACTCGGAATTTTCCGGGACTTTGGCAAGTCTGGAAAAGTCTGAGAATTTCTGCCCCAATCAGCATCAGTCGGGGGGAGTTTGAGCTTTCCTTTCTCTGAGCGGCAGCAGAAGAGGCGGTTGTGGTGCAACATACATGGCAAGCGACTCAATCTGCCTGCCGACGCAAATACCTGCTTGAAATTCACTAGAAATATTGGAGCAACCCGGAGCTCGAATCACCTTCTCTTAAAACACTCGCTCCGGGACAGACTTCCCCCTCTGTCGTTTTTGCATCCCTAAATGGATGTTACAGTGTATGGCATCTTTGCTAAATGGCCTCACGACCAGAGAACTCATCTTTCTAGCTTCCCTGCTCACCACTAAATGAACTGTTTCCAAGAGCGGTCCACAGCATGGCGGTTGAATTTATCTCTGCGGCTCGGGCGAGAACACCTTGAGGTTGGAACTGGGGAGCCGTGAAAGCACAAGCGCCGAGGCGATGTGCGATGCCTCGGCGTGGAGTGGGTAGGCTTATGCAGCATGTTGCCAAGAACTGGTCCACCGCCCTGCCGGCTGTCAGATAGAGCGCAGTTTTGTCGCATAAAAACTGCACTGCAGACGCGTCCCATTCTCTTAGGATCCGGTCAGAAAATTTTGATAAAAGTGTCGGGGAAAACCTGGAAAAGTCGGGGAATTTGAGCACATTATTTCGGTAGGTGCCCCGATTACCTATGTTTCTCCCAATACATTTCTTTTTTTTCTTAATAAAGGTATGTGTCATGTTTCTCGTGGAATAAAACTTAATTTTTTCAAGTATGCTTTGTAGAAAAATATTTCAACAGTTTCATGTCTTATAACGACACTGACACTCCCCAACATTTGTTTTTCCTCTTTTTTGTCAGGCGATTCATTATGGTGTCGGAATACTACCCAATTAATATTTTGCTACAGAGTCACATATTTTTTTAATAAAGCCAAAAAACGCAGCTGCTCCAAACCAAAACTCCCGCACCCCGCGGAGAAGTGGAGAGGATAGAGTGAGTGGCGGAAGTCACGTGGCTACACCTAACTGTGCGTTTTTTTTTTTTTTTTTGTTTTTTCCTCCACACATGGCAGACAAAATGCGTTGCAGGATCCGTTCGCCATGCGATTGCTTTGCAGTGATGTTTGTTCCGCTCGCTGTTCTGTACTTCAAGATGAGTTGTTTTGTACATTTAAATGTTGGCAATGAGTAGTGAGTGCCCGTGGTCAACTCCCGTGATCGGCTCCGAAAAGAATACTCCCAAGATGTTGCGTGAAGAGCAGGCTCACATGTCCTGCATCTGAAAGTGGCATTGTGCGGCAAAGCCCACAAGTTTCCGAAAGGTCAACGGGTCGGGATCAATGGCTGGCTGCAATTCCTGTAGAACAGTTACGCCAAGCTCGGAAAGCGGACGCTACTCAATTCATATGCTCCTTGCAATTTGTGGAAAGTGACTACATTGAGTTCGCAGGTGTCAAAAATGGAATCCCATACCATTTAGTTCAGCAACGTATCATCCACAACAATTGTTTTTTTCAGTGATAATTGTAAAAAAAGAAATATAAACATCGCAAAATGCTTGACAAAAAAACAAAATGGTCCACCCACACCAGGGATCGAACCCGTGCCCACTGCGTGTGAAGCGGACGTCTGTCCACTGAGCTACTGAAGGAACTCTTCCATTCGTAATAGTACAGCCGGTCAACTGTATGTCGGAAGTTTGCTGTCGTTTTCCCTTTATTGAATGCACTCCCAGCTTGAAGTCGGGCAGCACCACGCATTGGCCACATTCGCACCTCGTAAAGAAACCGTAGGCGTGCTTATTCAACTCGAACTACGCACTTCGTGCTGGACGTTTGAGCGAGCGTTGTCTTCAGCCACGAGAGGGAACGACGGCTCGGCGACGTCTTCGTGCAATCGGCTTGCTAGTTGAGCATGTCATACGGTATGAATATCAGTTCTTTTGATTGGTCCGAAATTTCTCTTTCGAAGGAAGACAGAATTCGCCGGTACTGTGAACGACAGTTCTGAATTAGAGGTCCAACGCCTGTCGTCCGCTGCCATTCGCTAGTCCCATTCCACGATACGCGAAACGACGCCATGTTGAGAATTATGCAGTGAACGCACGGAATGCTTCCGGTTGTCTGTGCTACCTCTTTTTAGGGGCGAAGCTCCTTAGGGTCTAGCCTTGTTCGTCCGTCCGGCCAGCATCCAAGCTCACATAAAAAGAAAAAATGTTTGTGCAGTCGACAGGATTCAAACGTGTGCGGGGAGACCCCAATGGATTTCTAGTCCATCGCCTTAACCACTCGGCCACGACTGCGGGACGAGTAGGGGGCTCTGAGATGTGGTAGTAACTCAAGAGCTGGGGATGTCACGGATGAAACGTTGCATGTAGCCGCTCAACGTCTATACAGGAGAGGGCACTGCAGTCAAATGCGTATATCATCCCGTTAAACTTTTCATGCATTGGCTCAATGTTTATAGACGAGAGGGTGCTGCGGTCAAATGCTCAATTGCGTATATACCGTATTTGCACGAATATAACGCGACCACGAATATAACGCGAGGGCAGGTTTTGATGCCATCAAAAAGAAAAAAAAAATATTATTACTATTATAACGCGAACCGAGGCCGCGTCAATTTCTCGCACTCGGGGCCATAGCATTTGTGAAAATTCAATGGAAATGGAAGAAATATCAGTTTATGTTTCGACTGCACTCATCCTCACTGCTCAGGTCCTTCCGTTTACAATCCACTTGGCGACTACGCAGATAAGCAGCAGCACGGCACCTGCTTGTTTGGTAGTTCCCTTTTCTTCCCTGCGAGCTCCTCGGCAGCCCACAATCCAAACAAGGTTTGAAGCAGAAGCACCAACACCAGATCACTCTGGAGCAGAAACTAAACAATGCGCAGGCAGAGAAAAGACAGCTGAACCCGATACACCATCACACTTCTTGTTCTGGTCCCTCTAAGTAAACAAATGCCTCGTGTTGCATGATTGCGTAAACGCGGTTGGTGGCCTTGGCCAGTCTTAGTTTGGCTTGTGTTCACTTGACTTGGTCCGGCTTGGCTTGGCTCGGCCAGTGCCCGCATTCCCACATGGCGCGCGCGCGCGCTGAGTTTCTGCGGCGTGCGCGCGTTGTACAAACACAAAAGCGATAAAAAGATTTTTTTTTATGTTTTCTATTTGCCCTTTTACGTCCACACCCCCACTTCTTTTCCCGCTGGATATTTTGCATTAAGCTGGAGGAATGACATTCTCCTCTGGCTTTCTCCAGACTCACGCGCCTCACGGCTGAACTCGATTCCGAATATAACGCAAGGTGCGTTTTGGAGCACGTAATTTCGAAAAAAAACTCGTGTTATATTCGTGCAAATACGGTAACCACGTTCCATACCACACATTCTCTTTCTGACATGGACCGTTGACTTAAGTGGTGGAGATGCGTTCCCACGGCTTCTAGCGGATCCAAGTTGATCCGCTAGAAGAACCACTGGCTCTGCATTACACCGACCATAAAGCGGTAATAATGAAGTCAAAACGCAAGCCGGAACTCAACACTACCTATGAGCAATAAAAAAAAAAATCAGCACCATCAGCACTACCTATGAACAATAAAATCAGTACCATCAGCAGCACTAGAGCTTCGCCCCAATCAACATCATTCACCGCGTGGAGATGTGGTCATTTTTTTAAATCAACGTATTTGCAGCTTTTTGGAAGCCACAAAAAATGGGTTTGATATTTTTTTCTATTTTCAATATTGACTGTGTGCCTTCAATGACTCACGACTTTGATTAAATTTGGTGGTCGCATCGAAACCTTAGAAAACGACCTGTGACCACAGAAAAGAGAGTGAGCACGACTCAAACCGGCCAGTTCTCAATCGGCGGTTTTTGGGCGGAAAGAAACCGAATTTCAAGCCGCAAATTTTGTTCTGGGTAGTTGGGCTCTCATACGTCGCGTACAACTAAAAACCTCGGCGAGCATAAATAGTCTGTCAGTGTCCCTTTAAAGTATCTGTGTTCAACTCAAATTAAATGTAAAATATTAGTTACGGGTTTTAGTTGAACTAGCTAGTTTATACTTGTTGATGGGGACAGCTAGGGTTGTTACCTTTCCTTAAAGGAAAAAACTGGCCGTGCCGATGAGTTATGTGGGATTGAACTGGTAAGAAGAAAAGCATGTGTTGACGGCCTTTAATATACAAATTCAATTTATCTTGATATGAGCTTCCCAAAGGGAAATCAAAACATATGTATAATAAAACAATAGCATATGGAAGTACACAAATAGGCAACACTGAACTCAATAATATGCATATATATATACATACCATTTATTCAAAAGTAAAGTGCCAAAAACAAATCCTACATCCTCTACCCATCCTGTGCAGCAGGAATGAGTAAGCACTCAGCAAGCTGTTTTTATTGTGCACTGGCCCTGCCACTTGAGGACACACGCAGGCTACAATTTTGCTACAGATATCAGCCTTTCCCCGAGAGAGACGGCGCATGTTTCGGCATGTCCTCTTGTTTGGGCATAGAGCCCCAAAAAGTTCCAGATGAACAAAAATGACCAAGTTTGAAAGCAATAAAGCAAATGCATTTTTTTTAACATTATGTGGACGTATTTACTAAAGAGAAAGCAAGTGGAAAAGTGGAAAAGAAAGTCTGTGGACGGGAGATAGCACCACACGTGTCTGTCAGGATGCCGACAATTGTTAATCAAAAAGCCATCCCCCCCCCCCCCCCCCCCCCTCCCAAAAGGCACAGACAGCTATGGGGAGGACAGGGCAGTCCTGTGTAGTAGTCGCGTGTTTTCCGTACCCTTACAGGTGCCGGCTTTCTGCTTTGTCCCATTTCCCTTCCATTTGCCCGCCGCACCCGCTTGGAGGAAGTTGGGCCAGTTCGTATTGAGACGACACATTGAAAACCAATGCAGAAAGACAGAACAACGGGCGAGAAACACATAGAACATTCAAGCGGTGACTCGCAACTGATATTTATGAGAGGAAAAGGAAAACGACATTCATAAAAACAAAAGGACGAAACACAATACATTCGCAGCATGAATATTTACAAAAATAAAAAATTGCACGAGTACACTTGAGGCTGCTTACGTTAGGTGTAGGAAGGCGAAAGCAGTATTGTCCCGCGGGAGAAATGTTTTTGGAGTAAACTTTCTACACATATGCAAGTTTAGGACGAGAGATCGACGTCAAGTACGGTGTCTAGGACGACATTAAGGACGGTGTCTAGGATAACCTCTCAGCTGACCTCAAGGACGACATCTAGGACAACTTCTAGGACGACCTTAAGGACGACGTCGAGAACGGCGCCTGGAGGACGACTTCTAGGACGACATGAAGAACGATGTCTAGGACGATCTCAAGGACGGCATTGTCTTTCAGCATACAATCGAGCGGCATGTGCCGCTCAATCACATTTTTATGGCCATTTACTATGATTTTTCGCTCAAGGGGACAAGTAAGGCTTTTGCCTAAATAAGAAGGTGAGAAAGCTAAAAGCTATAAATGCACACATGAAGGTAAGAAAACTAAAAGGAAGCTATAAAGGCACACGTGCAGGCACACGCCACAGGGCATGGTAAGGCTTGGGCATTAAAAGCACTAGCTAGGGAGAGCACTTTCTTCTTTTTTCTTCTTATACACCATTATAGATAGCTTGCTAACGCAACGCTCCTTTAATTTTGCTGTATAGTATGCTTCCAAAATCTCTCTCTGTAAATATTCATGATGTGAATGTATTGTGCGTGCTTAATCCTTTTCTTTTCTTTTTTATGTATGTACATTCTTTTCTTCTCATAAATATCAGTTGTGAGTCAGCGCTTAGATGTTCTATATCTCTCTCCTGTTGTAATTTTTCGCATTTACTATCTACACTAGCCAGATGGCGCCACATACCGCTTTGGCACCCGTGTTCTCAGGGTAGCATCCCCATGGCGCCTGACCCCCATGTTTGACTGTTACATAAAGGAGTACCTTACTAGCAACCATCCGTGTCAGACGAAGTGGTGACCCGCGCCCTCCAGGCCCCTCCGATTACCACCTCGTCATGTGACCCCCTCGTCTTCTCCGCAGGCCCACGTAGGCCCTGCGCTCCTTTTATTTTCACGGGTGACCGTCTTTTTAATTACTACATTTTGGCGACGAGCAATTACTACATTGCCCTGTCTTCTGTGCGCTGTTTTTCATTATGTCACCCGCTTAGAGATTTTGAATGATGCAGTCATTCCTCAAGCAAGCTCGCTTATGTGCTCTCTCTACTTGGGAGTCCTTAATCAATTTTCATGTACTTCCTGCAAAAAAAAAAAAAATCTATTGACAAGCATTTTTTGTGCTAGTTTTTGTGTTGACGGTCTAAAATATATTTATAAATGGCTCCCCTTTGCGATTTGCCGCGCTCTGCAGCAAATCACTAGTGCTGACATTGCTGGTCCAACAGAAGAGTGGGGAAAGAATGCAGGCGATACGTTTGGTATGTTAAGCGTGTTAGTTTTTTCGCAACGAGTTGACGTTGCTTGAGTGTTTGTCAAGTTTATTTTATACAGTGAGCGGCGCTGGTGTTTTTGTGTAAATGAAAGCTAGAAAGACGTTAGATACAGAGCTTGGTAGGGATGTTTTCCTGCTTTGTGTGTATCAGTGTCGCCAGCAACATGGTCCCATCGGGACCGCCGATGTCCATGCCCATGCCCCACCGTTCCGAAGCAGCCAAAATGTGTGGGACCTTTCCCTCGAATTTATCGTATTCTTTGGTATGACTGTTTGGTGACTCTGGTATAATCTGACCATCACCCTGTTGAAAGATTCCATGGTTGGCTATAGTTGGAAGGCCCCTCCTTGACGCGGCAAGGTTTCTTGTCATGTGGTTCAGGACTACGCCGTGACGGGATCTTGGCGCCAGCGGCACGCGGCGATGACGCCACTCTTTGCCGAGACGCTGTCGTGGAGCCAGTCTCAGTCATCCACAACGACGTCACAGTCGACTACGACGTCTGCAACGACCGACCCGGGCCCGATGCTGAGGGCGACCCAGGCGGAGCTCCAGTTCACGCCCACGCAGCGGGGGACCTCGGGTGGTGAGCAGACGCCCTGCACTGGGACGCGGATCACCGGGCTCGGGGTCTCGTACGGACGAAGACGCACAAATGCACTTTCTCACCATATTTTCTGGTCTATAAGTCGCACCATCTTCGACAGGCTCGATCATACTCGCAAACGCCAGGGAGCACAGAATGGGTCCCGCACAAGTCACACTCTGCATGTCGTTTGTGTTAGATCTTTCTCTCCTATTATGTATCTCGGTGGCTTTCACAGGGGGTCTACGGATTCTTTGGGGTCCTTGAGGGCCTTCTTGGGGTCTCAAGAGCATTAGGCCGCCAGTCAAGCCGAGGAGTAAATCTTTTCTTTTCAATTGATGCTGGCTGACCGACAAAGCTAAATAGACTCAACCATCTGCACTGAGTGAGAGGTGTTGATTATAGTCTACAAAGTGCATAGCTTGACAAAGAGAGTGCTTTGAAGACAGCCAGAAGTGCGCACGTAAGCAGCTTTTAGGCCATTTTTCACAAAGAAGCCAGGGTTTACCAGGTGTGAGTGTGTGAGCAGAGACCAGCGTGAGGTGAGGCGTCTGCGCACGCACCGTGCTGGTAACAGCGCCGCCGCTGCGGCTCGATGGACGATACGGGGCCATTCCGGGAATTCGATTGCCACACCTCCCGAAAGACCACAGTCGCAAGTAATAACAAACTTGGAAGCCTATCACACTTTTCAAAAGGTTCGAGGGAAGTTCCTCTTTCCACCTTGGCAGAGGGAATGCTGGAGTCCTCTCGAATGGTCGCTCTGCTAAGCTGGAGAGAGGAGCTTCCCCTGAACCTGTCACCGAGTAGAGCAGCTGTTCTCTTCTTGATTCTGTGTTGGCAACATGCATTTCATTACCGTCATTGGTGATATCCCACACCGCCTGGTGATAGTTACGAAATTGCAGAGAGTAAGCAAGTTGGTGAAAGAAAAAAATCATACTTTTGGTTCTTAATTTCTGGGCCAGGTGGCGCAAGCTACCTCCCGTTATAAAGGGTACAGCCGTTAGAATGCCTTTTACAAAAAACAACAAATAAAACTAAACGTGCAATAGGAAACTGGTAGTGAAGAACAGTCTGCTGACTGTATTGATTGTGTGTTGCCAGCTTAAATCCCCCCTAAAAAGAAGCTTTTGCTTTATCACTGTTGGGTAACCGAGCGATCGCGAGTAATCTGATCGCCCGAAACACGATCCGTGCAAGTCTGCTCACCGTTTGCAGCCGCTGCGACGACTGCGGGCTCGTTCAACTGGCTCACCCAGAGCACTCTGGAGAGCAACCTTTCTGGAGCCGAGAGACGACGATCCCTGTCCATCCTTTCGTTTGCGCCGGTGCAAGAAGAGGTCCTGCTCGGAGCCAGCCAGACCAGCCAGAAGAGTGAGTGGGGAGGAGCTGTTTAGAGCCGCTGTGGTGCCTGCAGCTGGTGCCTTTACTGCGTCCAAAAAAGTGCTCCCGCCATTTCCGCCTCGCAACGTCATGTCATGCTGTCGCCGGTTGCGATCCTGGCAATGTCGCAGCAGTGGGGGTGGATATGGCAGACGCTTGTTCTGCTGCAAGGTGCTCTTCAGCTTTACAGTCTACGGAAGCTTCGACAGCTATTAGTTGGGACGACAGTGATACTCGTGTTGAGTCATGCTTCTTTGCGGAACTTCTAGGACCAAAGACTAGGATTGTGACATGCATGAGGGCTTGTGTGGGGTCATTTGTTGCGGGGACCTCTTTGGATGCATGGACAGAATGGGACACACCGGTGGCAGACGTGTTCCAGCTAGGCACCGTACAGGCACTAGAGAGTAGCGACTCTTGGGACAACTCGGTGCTTGAAATCATGGAGCTGTCCCAAGTTTCCTCTCGAAAGAAAAGCCATCATCCGAAAGACAATCCAGCCGGAGGACGTCTCCTGACTCAATTTCGTACCTAAAGCTTGGGAAGTGTCAATTTAAAATGGTGACTGTCGCCAGTTACCAGCCCACGAGGTGGGAGTGGAGCGTCCTAAGCCTGTGGTTTTCAAATGGTGGTCTGTGGACCCTTTGCAGTTTTCAAAGGCCTTCCTAGGGTCCGTGAAGCCCTCGACTGTCCGTGAAGCCGGGCAGTAAACTTCTTTTAAATCATTAGTGCCCCGGTACATGTGCCGACCGTAGCCTGATTTGCAGCACATATACATAAAGTTCACAGCGTCGCCACGGGACGGCGCTAGCCAGTTCCCACAGCCCCACTGGTTGTGGGAAATGGCTAGGAAACACCTTTTGCAGGCGTTGACAGATGGCGGCGGAGTGCATATTTCGAGAGGCTCGGCAATAGGATGCTTAGCAACGGAGGCCGCCCTGGATTAGCTGGTTATAGAGAGTCATGCTGTGACATAACACCTAGCAGCCGAAGAACGCCGGCGAAGCCCCCCTTCGCCAATTTCGGCGCTGCGGAGTGGGGGACGGTGGGTGTACTATCACTCGAGCGCATGTTAATGCACCCCTCTCCGTCCTCCCGTTTGCGCTGCTTCACAGCGACAATCTGCAAATTGCTCGATCATTACAAAAAAAATAAAAGCTGGAGGTACACCTAAGCATTTCTTATGAGTTGTGATTGCAAAAGCATGCAAGCCGCTCGTCTGCTCCCTTTGTCGTCTCCTGTATACTAGTGCACACGCGCTTTGGGATCTCGGAGGCCATGGCGCAGCGGCCAATGGGAGCCCTGTCGACGCACGTCAGCCAATGGAACCGAAGGCGAATCATTCCTATTGGGATCACGGAAACCAGGATCCGTTTTCGCGCTTCAAACTGATGACGTCAGCTCGCTCCATGAGACAGTTAATGCTCTCGCATTAAAAAAAACACCTTAAGCCACTCTACACGCCACTTGACGGAGCCTCGCTGGCGGCCCAAGTACTGCGCCCTAGCCCCGCTGTCCACCACTGCACATCGGTTGCCAGGTGTTGCCTCACGCCGTCGCTGTCTATAACCAGCCAATCCTGCACGACTGCCGTCCTTCATGCACATGCGAAGAGACCTGATCTGCCTGCACCAGGGAGAAGAGGGGTTTTGGGGATGTACAGTCAGCACGAAATGAAACCCGAATGGCGGAACGCGTGGCCATCGACGCAGACTGCTCCACCTGGAGGGCCCGTGAGGACCAGGGAAAATGTGCTGGGGTGCGAGTGTACGGGTCCTACTAAGATGTACTCGAGCCTCGCGCGACGCGTCTGTGACTTCCGCATTTCACCGGTGGTGCGCTGTGAGCGCCGTCACATCCGATACACAAAGCGAGTGACGGCGCTTTGTGTATCGGATGCTCAGCGATATCTCTTCAGTGCTGTCATTATTTATCGCTTTGTGTATCGAAATGAAAGTTGAAACATTTTGTGGACAGAAGACACATAGTACTTGATGACGTCTCACCGGAACCACGCTGGGGCTCCGGTGAACAACGTGCCACGCGCGGTTTCTGAGAAATAGTGAAACATCATAGAGGCGAAACAAAATTTGTTTATTGGCAGAACCATTCTCTTTATGAAAAAAAAAACATGCTGCAACAGACCGATGCGGATGCCTCGGTTTTTATAAGCACTGCGCATGTTTTCGTGCGAGGTTATTAGTCGATTCCTATCGAAAGGGAGGAATTGCTTGCTGACGCTCTTTTTGGTAACCACCGATATGCCAGGCGTATCAAGGCCGGAGCGGAATAGATTCATCGCCCTGTCTGAGCAGGGCCTATTGCAAAGCTATAGCCAGGTTAAGCGGCCGCTTGGTGTCGACCGGGCGACTGTGCGACTCACAAAAGCTCTCCAAGTGACGGTGCTTACAGCGCACCACCGCCGAAACGCGAAAGTCCCGGACGCACTGCGCGAGGGTCAAACTCATCTTAATGGGACCCACACCCTTGCACCCCGGCACATTTTCATTAGTTCTCAGGGGCCCTCCAGGTGGGGCAGCCTGTGTCGATGGCCACGCGTTCCGGCGTTCGGGTTTCATTCCGGGCAGCTGAAAAATACAGGGTGTTTTTCAGCTGCACCAAATTTTTAGATAAAACGGGAGAAGTCATATGCATGCGGTTTCCTCTGCGTGTTTACGTGGCTCGGTGGACATTAGACAGGAATATAACCATTCCTGTTATCGAACTAAATAACTAAAATTTGTTATTTAACTTTTTAATTACTAATCAGGATATACGTTTAAATTACAAACTTTGAGGTGGCCATATGCTGAAACTGTTCCCTTTTGTAGAATTTGCGTAAACAACCCACGTTTTAGGACATCTGTCCCCGAATTTTCTACGTTATCTGACTTTTTATTTATCGATCCAGCAAACCCGCAAAAGTGGCCAGTCTAGCCAGACTTTGCTACCTTAGCCGGAGAAAAGTGAAAAATTCAGGGACGAATATCGCGGTTACGTGGATTCTACAAAATGGAATAGTCTCGGCATACGACCGCCTCAAGTCTGTAAAATAAATGTATATCCTAATTACTGTAATTAAAAGGTTAATTAACGAATTTTAGTTAATTAGTTGGATAATAGTTATGGTTATCTTCCCATCTAATGTCCTCTGCACCATAGAAACACGCAGTGAAAACCACATTCATAAAACATTTCCTCCCCTTATTTAAAAATTTGATGCAGCTGAAAAAAAAAAAAAAGACTTTGTACAATTGCTGCATGAAATGTTCTTCGAGAATCGGCGTAGTGGCAGCGACGATTTCGGCCCATTTTTTGTTTTTATGCGCAACATTGTTTAGTTGCTCGGCATTTTGCAATGCCCGATAAGCGTGGCCGCAAAGCTCAATGCCGATTGGTTAGCGAGGGAGGTCACGTGACCAGAAGGGTAGGCAGGGACGAGTGAGGTAGGCGAGGGGGAGCTCAACCACCTGCGCACACTGAGGGAGAGGTGCTCGAGAGCATGGAAGGCTCTGGAAGACCGTCGGGTAAATTGGCCCGATTGTTGGTAATATCGCTTTCTTCTAGGAAAAATGTATGGCCTATTGCTAGGCAATTGTGGCTTGCATACGTGAAACGCCGAGTACCGCTGAACTTTTGTGATGCTTGAATGTTTCACGTATGCAACAGGATTGCCCAATTACCGAGCAATTTGGTGTACATTTTATAGGTGCTGGCCATTCGACCAGGCTAAATAGATGAAACTATGTGTGCCAAGTGGGTAGGGTTGAGCGTTCACCGCTTCAGACATTCAAAGTTGGTTTGCAACCATATAGTTTTCCTCAATCAGATCTTTCTCATTGTAATTGTTCCAATATGAATGGGAACCCCTCCCCCCTGGTGGAGGGGTCCGCCATCGCTCCCGCCAATATAAAAGGGGTCCCCGAAATCGGCAGCGGTGCTCCGAGTGTAGCTTACGTAGTGGCTTTGTTTTTAAACATAGTGAGAGTTCCCATTAGGCCATATTTGATTACCATATTTGCTCGACTAATATATGCGCTCTTTACGAACACGTCCCATGCATCCACTTTTCCCGCAAAGCCGGCATAGCCATGCGTACCAGTCTACAAAGAAGCGTAGCCATGGACGAGGTTTTCAGGGAGGTTGGCGTAGAAGCGGGCTCAGACGTGCCTTTCTAGTGTGGCATCGCTCCCTATAAGAGCAGGGAGGGTTGTCTCCACAATCTGGAGAAGAAGTAGAACGAGCGGGACTGCCCTTTCCACTCGTGCGCCTTCGTACTTGCGCTGCAGCTACGTCGCAGTCACGTGATGCGCGTTTCGTCAAGAGAGAACGACAAAGTGGCGCTTCGGGAAGGCCTTGATGGAATGCGAGTGCTGGTGGCGTTTCTCGGGAGTTTCAATTCTGCGTGTTTGATTGATAGATCGAAATGTTGCTGCAAACTGATTCCTATTCGTGATTCTGTTTTAAATTTTTACCGCGACACAGGCAAGGAGCTTGGATTCCTGCGGAGGCGCTTCTTGCGCGACGAAGACAAGGTCCGGCTGCAGCACATCAAGCGGGAAGTCCGGCGTAAAGAGCTCTGGGGGGTGGGTGCACTCCAGCGTTGGTCTAGCCACGCACTAGGCTCGTCAGATAGCTACGGCTTTCCCTTTTTGGGAGATATACGAAAGGACCGACAGAGTTGTCTCGCGTTGTGCGTGCCCAGTGGGTAAAGACTTTGTCAAACCGAAATGTCGCCCATACTGACGAGTATCTCTCATGCGTGATACATACTTGCTAGGTAAGGGGAACTATTACGATGGCCTTTTGTCCTTTTTTTCTTTTTGATTTCTATTTGATGAAACTTTTACAAAGTAAAACAGTACTTTTTGGTCCCTCAAAACTCCACACTCATGCTTTGCTGATTAGAGAAAAGGCACGCATGATCTTCGATAAAAGATATAAATTTTGAAGATTTTCCGTAGTACGTCAAAGTTTGTTAAGGGGAGATGCGGGTCGAAAACTGGCAGTATTTCTCAAAAATTGTGATTTTGGGTTTTATGTTTTTTTGTTTTTTTTATTCTTTATACTTGATTTATAAAGAGAATTAGTGCCGGTTATGATCGCGAAGTTAGTCAAATACGCTTTTGAAGACCTCCAGGCAACCCAGAACAACATGAATTTGAGCCATTTTTCTCCGCGTGGTTCTTCGAGTTGTGACGTCGGCCGCCATGACATTTATGTCGATAAGTAGGCCTGGCCGTCTCCTCTACATTGCAATCTTCTGTGGCTTCAATTTCCCGCGGAAATCTATTTACAAAATAATATTTTTGAATCGCGTAAGATGTGCATCGCTACACATCTATGATAACATTCGAACACGGTTTTCTTTTGTCATATTGGGGATCTATGTATACCGTAAAATCCTGAAATAGCGCCCACACTCGATAGATCGCCCACTCCGCTTTTATGTTCGAACACGTGTTTCCCTCGAATACTGATAGGTCGCCCACCTTCCAAAAATAGCGATGCCCGAAGGTTGAGAAAAGTGCCGGAGGGTAGGGGAGAAGGTTTGGAAAGCCTAGGATTCCCTTCACAAAAAGAAGAGGCCACACACAATAAGGGAGATAAGATAACGGAAGGAACCCGGAAAGTGGTCAAGGTCACTTATTGAATGACATCAGGAAAGCGTTGAAGGTCACTTAGTGGTTGTCGTCAGATCGCCCGACAACCCCAGAAAATCTTTTGACCAGCAAACTGTGAAGACGTTTCTTGTGTATACTCGGGATAAGGTCCGGCTATACCATCCAGAAGAAAGTGGAAGTCGTGGAATGGCACCGCAAGAACGGAGCTAACGTGAGCAAGACTGCGCGCCATTTCGAAGTTGACCGGAAGCGTGTACGGGAATGGAATACGAGCTACCAAGTACTTCTACAACAATGCCATGGAACGAACAAGTTGAAGAGAGCAATAGGTAGGGGACGACCCGTTTTTAGTGAAGAAATCGACGACGCACTGATGGACTTTCTGGAGACTGAGAGATCCGCCGGTCGAGCAGTCAGCAATCGCCTGCTTCAAGAGCATGCGCGGAAACTGGCAGAACAGATTGGCCTAGGAAACTTCCAAGCGTCATGCCAGTACATAGCTAACTGGAAGAAGCGATTTAATGTGTCTATGCGGGTGGGGACCAAAGAAAGTCAGAAGCTGCCTACCAACTACGTTGAAGCAATTACGGTGTTCCGAAAGGCTGTGTCAACTCTGTGCCTGGAGCACAACTACTCGGACTACAACATAGCCAACATGGATCAGACTATGGTCCGGATGGATTGCCCTGCTGCGAGAACCAACAATGATGTCGGCGAGTCGAGTATTCGCATCGCCAACACCAGCTCTGCTCGGCGAGGGATGACGGTGGCCTTGTGCGCGACGGCAGCGGGCATCAAGCTACCTGCTTTGATCGTACTGAAGGAGCCAACCGGCCGGATCCCCCCGGAGTACTCTTTTCTCTAAGGATTCCAGGTATGTTGTAATTAATCACCATTCAGGGTATAAATGTCGAAACAAAGCCTTAGAAATACGTAAAAACAAGGCTGACAGCATTTTTTTTTTTTTAAATAGAGCGACTGTTGCGTCATCCATTGACAAAACGCCACAGCCCGTTTTGTTTTGTATCGCCCCATTTCCGAAAGATGGCGTAGCCGTTCTGGCCGGCGCCATCTTGAGCGCACGAGCAGTTGGCGCGTGACTTGCTGGCTTTCCAAAGGTTACTCACTTGCGCGTGCTTCGGCGCTCGGCCATAAAATCGGGCAGTTTGCATATCTTCGTTCATCAGCGTAGCATGTGTAATGTGCGTTTGGGGCCTGAACTGTTATTTCATGTTATACTTGTTGTACTTGCAGCAAATGTGCGAGTTACTTCTTCCAAGAACGGTTGGATGATCTCTCCCGTCCTACTGGAGTGGACTAGGAGAGTTTGGGGCCCGAACGCCGACGACGTGAGGAGACTGCTCATACTGGACCAAGCACCCATACACAAGACAGGCGGCCCGAGAAGCGCTCGACGCAAAAGACACCGACGTCGTCTTGATACTGGGCGGTTGCACGTCCATTTTGCAACCCGCGGACGTCTCATGGATGAAGCCCTTCAAGGACGCGCTGCGTGGAATTTGGGCATCGTTCTTCCGGAAAGGTTCGGTGACTCCAAAGGGCAACCTTCGCAAGCCGTCGCGTCAAGAGGTTGTGGACTTCGTGGCTCAGGCGTGGGCCTCCGTCTCCGAGGATACCGTGCGAAGTTCGTTCAAACGGTGCGGAATATCCACAAGGCTCGATGGTTCCGAGGACGGCGAGCTCAACGACCGTTTGGCTTCGGTAACCAATGGACCCGAGGATCCCGAGAGCCTCATTGACGAGGCGATTTAATCTTCGATAGCGAAAGCGATGTGTCGTTTGACGGTTTCAGCGATGAGAGCTAGGGAAACCCACGCTGCTTTGGCGCACCCGTTACTCGAGTTTTGTTTGTGATTTTGGTTTTTAAATACTGAAAGATCGCCCACCCCACTTTTTTGGCCAATTATCTACGGCGAAAAGGGGGGCGTTAATTCAGGATTTTACGGTATATATTTTTTTTTTTATCAAAACTTTAATAATCTTTTGTTAGCTGCTTGAAATGGAAATTGTGCTATATTTAATTATTCTAAAAATAAAAGAAGCGTCACACACATTTTTTTTTTTTTGTTGTTGTTCATCGCACTTGGTGGTCTTGAGAAAGCAAATTAGGTTTATTTTACCATACCATGTTGCCGTGCCTCAGGTTTGCGTGAAAATAGGTCTTCTTTCTAAATGTACATTGCATCGAGAACCTAAAAGACGAGCTATATCACTCTAACACCAAACTGTTGAAATTTTATTTCAGTGTCGTAAATATATTTTTTTTAAATATTTTTTTCCTTTCTTACTGATGTTGGGTGTGCGCCTGCTCAGTTGGCGTCCAGTATGTGGGATCGGTAGGTGTTTTTAACCAACACTGCCGCTCACCCCATGGGGCGAGGGGTTTTATCGACTCATTTGAATTGCAGCAGTACCTATATGAATCTAGATTAATTGTTTGAATCAAGCAACAATACATTTTGGTATATAAAAAAGAAAGTATTATAGTCAACCTACAAAAAGTGAGAGTGCAAACGAGGAGGTGTAGATCGACATAACTACCAAGCCGATGAAACGTCAGCTCTGCTCCAGTCTTTGGGTTTGTGCCGTCCTTTTCTTGCCGCAGTCTCGGGGCTCTTTGTAATTCTAATTAAACGTGAGGAAGATACATAGATGGGGGGACGGACAACGAAGACTTCGTTGTGCGTCCCCCCTATCTATGTATCTTCCTCATGTTCAATTACTGTCACCAACACGCTCGTTTTGTACTGAATCGTAATTCTAGCATTTCAGTGTTTTTGAGCATCCGGGGGGACATTGGAATATGTGTGCGTAAGCCCCAAAAGACCCGCGTGCCTGATGGGAGCTTCTTTGCAGGAACAAGAGCGAGAGAGGCGTGCCCGGAGGGAGGCAGAGGTGACGCTGTACCGCAGCTATCGCTTGGGGGACCTTCCTGACATTGAGATCCCTCATTCGGCGCTGGTGGCGCCCTTGCAGGCGCTCGCTCAGGTGCGGGGGACGCCCTCGCATCCCTTCCATTTAGTCTTTGCCTTAATAACTCACTCTCGCATTTTCTCGGGAGAACACGCTGGCGCCATCTGTGAGCCAACCCTGGAACTCCATTTCACTAGAGCGAAGGTTTGACACTATTTGCAATAGTCGCATACTAGTCATTTTAGTAGATTTTGAGCTCGAGCAAATAGTGATTTTGGCCGAATATTTTTTAATCGAATATTGGATACTACTGCACCATGCTTAATATAAACAGAAACCCAGATAAACTCAACAAGGTTGTTCCCAAGCTTTCACGCGTCCATTTTTAAGTTAATTTTAATGCGGCTATATTTATGGACTGTAGCCTCGGAAAGTTCAATGCCTACATTAGGATAGAGAGTAAATGACAAGTTAAACGTAAAATTACACCTAGAGATGCCCACTTGTACTTCATAATTGACATTTATAAATCTTATCGCTATATACAACGCACAAGCCATTATTGGCTTATGTGGGCTTTATATTGTGTTATTTTGAAAGAAAGTAAATAAAGAAGGTTTTTGTATTGTATTGTATGCAAATATCCTTTTTTCAAATATTTGAAGAAAAAAACAATTGTGTATGGTGAGTTCAGGCTGCCAGGACATCTCTGCCTGACGTATACTCTCACGTCTCCCCTTAATATTTCAGCAATGTTCATTTGTGTGTTTAGCAAATTTTCAAAAATCGAGGACTATGAAGAAAATGCCAGAGTGCCCCTTTAAAGGACCCCTGAAAAGAAAAAAAAAAAGGTATTTTAAACAATCTGGTTGGAACACGCGTGTCCAAAAATAAATTTTATGCGAAAAAAAGTTTTTTTAGAGCAATGTTGATGGCGCGAGACGTGATTTAGTTGGCAGTCACCTCCTTTCCACTTGTTTTCTCTCTCAGCATTTCGAGCATGTGGAGGAGAGGTGGAGTGTCTTCGCCTTCACGACCGAGATGGTCACTCCAGAATGACCAGTGACGTCATGGACTTCGCGCGCAGAAATTCAAATAAATCTCGCCGTCATTATTGCTCTAAGAAAAACTTTTTTTCGTTTAAAATTAATTTTTTGACACGTGTATCCCAACCAAACTGTTTACAAAAAAAACTTTTTTTTTTTCTTTTCAGGGGCCCTTTAAATGATTGTTTGTTACATTTCTCTTTTACTACCACAGGCCCTCTTAATGCAGGGGAGGAATAAAAACACAAATATGTAAATCTAATAAATTGAATTGTTGCGCAGCACGATCAGCAAGTGGCTCAAGTGTTGCTGACATCCATTGTGAAAACGGTGGTGAAGGATGGTGCCGACCTTCCCGAACTGTGTCGTGAGCTTGAAGTCGCTCTGTCGTCCATTCTGGTGACGAGCGATCGCTGCTTCCCTCCCCTCGTCGCATTTGTGCAGGTCAGTTCCCTCGTTGGGGTCGCTGGTCTCCACAGGGACTTGCAAAGTGTTTCGTGCCTAAGCTGATATCCTCCATTTCAATCTGTCGAAGAAATTAAAAATGAAATTTCCTTAGTCACTGATTTGCCCCAAAATTATTTAAATACATTAAAACGCACGCTTGAACTGGTAAATCAAATTACACGTCGAAATTAATTTTATGCATGAAATTATAGAAGATAAAAATTCTGTAATCACAATTTTTAAAAATGAGAGGCAACACAAAAACAAAAAAATGTAATTTGGTCCATATTTGGAAGCATGATCTTGATGTGTTAGAAATGAGATAGTGCTAAATGAAAGCTTATTCGAGTGTAAGAAAAAGAAAAACGGTGTTTTTAGAAAAACAACCAGCAAGTGTCATTAGTAAGCTCGTATCGATTTCCGAATACTTCAGCTATGGTATGGGGAAAAGTAATGTACTACAATTCATTGCATCTGAATGCACGTACTGGTGCAGGAGGGGCAGGGATATCCAACGAGCCTACTACGTGACGTCGCGCCACTGGAAAGTGCGGGAAAATTTAAATGGTGATTTTGGCGTCACCTTCTTTTTCCCTTTCCGCGGTAGCTATTGTGACATAAGAGATAACAAAAATAGCATGCCGGAAAGAGTAAAGCCTAGAAATTCTGAAAATGTGTGCAGTTTGGCTGCTCAAGAAACTGCCGGAGCTTTGAAGATATAGTGCAATCCATTTATAACAATACCACATATAACAATGTACTGCTTCTAGAGTTCCTAGACTAGAAAACAATCAGTTTCTAGTCCAAATACAACGATAATCGGTCATAAGGATTGAAATTTCGGGTTTTCTCATTATCGTTATAAGTGGATTGCGCTGTATAGAAAATGCCACGAATCACAAATTGAAAGAATACAAAATCTGGCTCTTCGATTTATCTTCTCCAGATATAAACGTACAGAATCTGTTTCTTCAATGAGACAAGAGGCGCAGCTTGACTCGCTGGCAAAGCGACGGAAAATATCAAGGTTAAAAGAACTCTTTTCCATAACGACTGGAATGACAAAGCTAGATCCGCAGCTTTACTTGCGGCCTTCAACGTCTCGTTCCCAAAGGACTAGCAACGTCAGGGCGATTGCTCCGTATCAATACAAAAATGATGTATTTAAGTATTCTTTCTTTTGTAGGACAATAGTAGAGTGGAACGCTCTGCCAAACGAAGTCGTCAGCTGCTCTAATCTCAAGTCATTTGAATTATCATTGCGCGAATTTTTAACTGAATAATGTATGTGTGCGGAATACATCTTCAGATGTGCAGGGTGTGACGCACCACTGCATGTGCATAAGTGCTCACTTGAGTGTGAATGCATTTTGCTTGGCTTGTACAACTTATTTTTCTCTCCTGTGTTGACCGTAAGGTTCACAGTATTGTAAATAAATAAATAAATAAATAAATAAATAATATGAGCTACAGATCCATTATTGTTTAAGAACTGACAGTTTTAAAATGTTTTTGTGCGTGAACCATTGAGGGTTTAAAAACTTTTTGCGCATGAACCTTGCATATTGCACTACAGTTAAACCTCGATGTAACGAAGTCGGTAAAATTCGCAATTTACTTCGTTACATTGAAATTTCGCTAAATCGAAATTTGGCTTTAGCATGCGAAAAAAAAAAATTCCGAAACATTTTACGGGTATGAAAACTCACCGAAAATGACATTTATTTAGGGGCAAAGTAGTCCGCGAGTTTTGCTTGCGCCTTGTCCGACAGTAGCAGCGGCGTCATACGGCGTTCGAGCGCCCAGAGCGCTTGCACGGCATCTTGCTGCCCATGTGACGCCGTGTACCTCCTCAGTACGTCCATTGCGTCGAGCACTTCCCGAGTGCTCGTGATCTCGGCAGTTTCTTCAGGATGGCGTCCAAAACGTTTGCTTTCTCATCCAAAGAAAGAACTTTACGTTTCCTTATGGCATCAAGCACGTGAGTGAACCGCCCGGTTAAAAAATAAAGCTGTTTAGTTTAGGCGGTGCCAATGTTTCCAACCTACACAGCACTCTTGACCGCACAGTTTACTTGCCCCCTTGCGCCCACAGTGTGCTTGCGCCTTTGCTTTACATCACGCTCGCAAGACGATAATCGGTCTTCTCCTAGATGGCACTGCCCGTGCGGTCGCGCGGTCGCGCCATCACGTCGCTCCCCCGCTGAAGTTGGCTCCCGCGCTACCCGCGGTACAGTGGACTATGATGATCAGTGAATGTCAGTGGTGATGCTGTTATGCCGTGTTAACTTTTTGCTCGGCATTTTCTGGCCAGCCCCGCGGAATCCGCTTTGCCGCATGCCTCGCCGGCGCTACCGGCGCCGCATCCTCGGGCAGCCTAGGAACGTTGGAAGGCCTGTCCCCGTGAAGTAACCTATCAAGCGCTCGCGTTTGCGCATAATTTTTTTTTTTTTAACCACAATTTTTTTGCGAAGTTGATTTTTAGAGTTGATTTATTTATTGCCTTCTATGGCAATGACGCTTCGTTATATTGAAATAGCAGCAAAATCGACTTCGTTATATAGAGACTAAAAATGCATGGGGTCTATGGGCAAGAAATTATGAAAAATAAAATACTTCAATAAATCGAGGATTTCGTTACATTGAAGTTCGTTATATCGAGGTTCGACTGTATATTGTATGGTTCGCTCGGATCATCGATAAAACCTGCATGCATTCTTAAACCCCAACATTGACAAGATCTTGTTCTTGGGGGTAAGCTTACGGTTGTTGCGTCGTTGAATCTTTCTCGTAAAAACTACACGTCAAAAGGCTTCTTTCTGTCTCTGTAGCCCTGGCAACACTGAGAGTTGTGCTTGTTTTTCGTTGTGCATGCAGGAAACTTCATTCTCGTGTGCTGGGGGCTTGAAGCTCCCTGTGGATGCAGTGGCAAAGGCTTCAGTTGCAAGTGGCCACCAGAGCTTGGGTAAGCCCCAGTGGTTAGGGTATCGCGGTCAATTAAGATGGAGACAGCTTTAGAACAGTAGTGGCCACTGTAAGAAAGAAAGTCGGTTATGTACTGCCACTGCATTATACTTTTGTTTAACCATTTTTGCATATTTCAATGTACTAACCCCTTCTGCCACAACCTCCCAAAGGAGGTATAGTAGTATTTATAAATAATGTTGAACGTCTGCTTTTTTACTTCCGTTCTCTTTAATTGTTGTATTGTCCTGCAGCGAGAGAAAAAGTACACTGAAGTAAAACATTGCAGGGATCTGGGCCAAAGCTCCAATGGTCCCTGTAGCTTCGAGCCAGGTCACTACAATACCCCCATCGCAGCCAACTGCCGGGCCCAGAAATTTTGTGTGATTTTTTGTGATTACTAATGTTAATGTTGCTTCCATGCTTTCTAATTAACTCAGCTCCTCGTTATGTGAGGAGAGGAAGATGTTGTATCGGCAGCATTGGGCATCTGTGTATAAACCACCGGCGTCGCAGTAAACACGATTCATTCTTGTTCGGTACTTCTGCGGTGTGTTTGCCTCTCTTATTCCTGGTTGCTCTGGTAGCGGCCGGGAATAAGGCACGCCATTTCAGCTTGTACAACATTGAATATTGCCATGTCCCAGCTGAGGTTTCTGTGCATGGTGATGAAAGCCACATGAAGGGACTATGAGATGGGCTTTTCACTTTGGCTAACTAATGATCAGAGTAAGCAGTTTGCATTTGTAAAACATGGTGGTTCACAAGCGCTTGGTCTTGAAGGAAGTGTTTGTGAAGCTCGCATTCCTTTTCCTCAACTTTTTTTTTTATTCCCTCTATACGTGATGGACCCACCCCAATGGGGAAAAGGATTATTTGCAACAAATAATCCAATTAATTGTGAAAAGATTATTTCCTTGCAGCAGCTTATCTGCTTATTTTAGGAACACTGCTCGTCTTCCTCACAAACTTGAGGCTGCGCTAGAACTTCCCCAGTTTGCTGCCACCAGCTTTCTTTTTCACTGTCTTTAAAAGTGCTTTTAAAGGTCATCAGAGAATCAAGATTAAAGGCTGGTTCACAATTTTACAACAAACTCCGACACAACTGGTTTTTAAGCCGCTTATGACCGCCATCGCTTCTGTGTGGCCCGTCGTAAGCACTCGCGAGCGACTTAAAAACTGGCTGTGTCGTAGACGGTCGTAGTCTGTCGCAAAAGTGTGATCCAACTTTAACCTTCTATGCTTTGCTGGGCTATTATCCCGCATGACTTAAGGAGTCCCCCAAAACTTTGTTCCCCTCCCTGCAACGCTCTGTTGACGCACAGGGATCCTGGTTCTCGAGGAGGTGCAGCGTGTGCGTGCATTGAGCGAGCCCAGACCGCCGTCACCCAAGCGAACCAGGAAAGAGGCTGCTCAAGCCTGCGGTCCCTGGCTCCAGATGGCGCAGTAAGTGATGCTGGGCAGCAGATCCAGGTCCTGAGAGAACATCTATCCTTGTATGTCATTGTGCTGTATGCCAAGGGGAGGACGAAACAATAGAACATGTCGTGTTGAGGTGCACAGGCCTTTATTTATTATTCCTTATTTACTTCATTTATGGACTGTGACCACTTGTGTAACGCTCCGAATTCTTTTTTGTTAAATTTACGGGTATAGATGGTCGAGGAAACCCCCAAGCATGATCTGGGGAATACCTCTGTTCCTAGAAACCCATTCTGAGAACTGATGTTGTAGTACTACCAGGATTCTAATTTCTAATAGTAATTTTGCTACAGTCGCCGACCGTTTTTTCGGTCTCCGATAATTCTGACTTGTTCGATAATTCTGAGCTAAAGGAGGAACTGTAACTTACCCCATAGAAATAGTGGATATTCACAACCAATGTTTCGGACAGCTTGAAGTCCAAAAGTTTGATTATGTGGACGAAATCGTCGCGAGCGATCAGCGGGAAAAGCCGGCGAGAAGGGGCCATTTTGAATTCTATGTTGGCTGCAAATGGATTGGCTTGGTTTGGCACACGACCAACCCTATAAAAATTGTAGTTTGGCAGCGCTACTTGAGTACTCCTGAGTTCTACCGCTAGGTGACGCTATGCTAGCCTTTTTTCCATTTAGCTACATGTCATCATCATCATTTTCATTTTGCTTTGTTTCCTTCCATCGTACCTCCACCCCACTTTCGCGTCGCCAGTCGCCATTTTGCGCTCGTGGATTTGCGGCTCTCATCTTGTTCTGACAATGCTGGCTTGGACGTCATGGCCCCATCTGTTGTTCTGCCACCGCGATGTGTCGTGAAGAAGCGCAGAAAGTCCTCGACCATAACGCTAGAAAAGAAGGCAGCGATTCTCGAGCTAACAGAAAGTTCCCAATGCAGACGGAGGCGTAACCTGAAACAAGACACGCAGGCGTAACCTGAAGGAAGGCACTATTTACCGTATTTACTCGCACAATGAACGCACTCGCATAATGAACGCACCCCCCAAGTCTGCTCTCAAAATTTCAACTTTTTTTTCACTCGCGTAATAAACGCACCCCCAACTCGGACGTCAAAATTTTGACCCCCTCCCCCCACGCGCGCGAAATGAACGGACTTTCCTATCCTGGCGTAGTGAGGTCGCGAATGGATGGGCAGCGTGGGCGAACAAAATGCCTTTTAAAAGGCGTTAAAAAAATTAAAAAAGATTCAACGGAAGCAAGAAAAAAAACATGAAGAGAAGCTTTTCTTTTTTTTTGCACAGTGAAGTCTGGATTTTGGGGTCGGGCGCCGCGTGCAAGGAGATAAGAAAGATAAGTGGAGAAACCCTTGCCTAAGCAACGCCTAAGCAAACAAAACAGCTTGCAAAAGGCGGCAAAAAATAATGAAAAAAACAACCCACCAAACTAAGAGAAAACAAAAAACCAAAGGAGCTTTTCTTTTTCTTTTTTTTTTTTTTTGCACAGCCCAGTTTGGTTACGGAGTCGCGCGCCGCGCGCAAAGAGAAGAAGTTACGTTGATTTTTCAGGATAAAAGGTCCGTTGGTTATGCGAGTAAATACGGACGCAAAAATTTTACTTCACATAATGAGCGCCCCCCCCCCCCCCCCCCAACTTTGCATCAATTTTTCGGAAAAAAAAGTGTGTTCATTCTGCGAGTAAATACGGTACAGCTTTTTGAAGCCCATTTGAAAGTAATAAAGGCAAGTTTTTCAACCTGCTGATTTTTCGGACCGCTATTCGAATGTTTGTTTGGTCCCTGCGAAGTCCGAATAATCGGTAGGCAGCTGTATATACCGTATTTACACGATTGTAGGTCGACTCGATTGTAAGTCGACCCCCCCACATCGCACATCAACAAAAAAAAAAAATTTTTTTTTTTTTTAGATGCACATTTTATTGCAAACACGTGAGAACGGCAAAGTATCTGTTTTGAAAGCCCAGCCTCCAACACGCGATGATGCCTTCTAGCGTGCTTTGGCTGCGCATGCATGTGCGAGGTGCATGAGATGGCCAGGCATTATCTGAACTAGGAAGTTCACGCTGGAGGCGGGACAACTGAAGCTGCTCACTGTCGTTCTCACTCCATCCGCGACTAGAGTACGACTCGTCCGCACTGGTGATGTCAGTCCCATCGTCATCACTGCTACGTTCTCGAAGCACGTCGGCGGTGGCGTCCAACGAAATCTCGCACTTTGTAAATGACAGCATCAACCGCATCTTCCGCGCTTCCTCGGCGATCGCGTCAGACGTCACGGGTAGGGACCGATTGCGCTCGTTTGCGGCGTACGTTGCAAGCCTGACCTCCAACTCTGGAAGGCATCTCCATCTATCCAGACTTTGACCTGCGGAAGCTTCTTCGTTTGCCGTCACGCTTTAAGATTCTGCGCCACCGCTGACTCCACTGGAGCGTCACCCACTCCGACGGGTCGAACTTACGTCCAACAGCGCAGTTGTTGGTTGCTTCTGAGTGAAGAATGGCCATAAACGAGCACCAAAAACCTAAACTGCCCGGATCACGCGTTTCAATACAAATGAACATATGGTGCATTCGGGTGGTTGCCTCTCTCCTCTGACCTCGATTCAGCAGAGCGCACCCTCCTCGCCGCCAGAGCTACTCGGGATCCTTTTCAGCCGATCACAACTGCTGGCTTCAGAGCGCTCTGACATTCTCAGACCAGTCACGGAATTAAAACTTTTTGACATTGGTACTGCATTAAAAACAACACGATCTTACAGCGTACGGTGGACGATTGAGCAAAATTTACGCTCACAACGTGATGAAATAACGGTTGTGACGTAAATTGTTTTACTCATCGGCATGTAAAAAAAAACAGTATGCGAATTGATTTTTGCAGAACGGAACGAAAGCCAACGCTTGGAAACAGATGTCAACTCATTGCGTTTTCGACAGTGAACGTGCTGCAATAGCGGTCATGCGTACGTACGACTGAGCAGGCGAATATAAAATGGTTAATAAACCGCATTTTTCTCACGGCGAAATATTGTGCAAGCATCGCAATGTGACACAAACCCCAATGCATTATATTCGGCTCTCCCTTTATTTTACAACACAAACCTTTGAACGCACTTTTACCAAACCTCAAAAATTTCTTGAAGCAACTACAAAATTTGGTAAAACAGCGGCGAGCTCTGCGAGCTGTTTCGTCGTCAATTAGGCTTAGCGGATTTACCGCCGTGAGATCAACGATCTTGTGAAAGCACTGGGAAGACTTCACACGTCGACTTTTCCTGTTACGGTTGCAAACGAATGTCATCCAGTCCTTGCATTGTCGAATGTACAGGCACTTTGTAGAACCAGACATCAATCACCGTCATGCCGGACCCCGCACACCACCACAGAACACTGCCGGCCATCATCAACAAAACCGCGTGATCACCGTCCAGCTACCATGTGACGCCTGCGCCGCTGCGCACTCCGACGGCTACAGACGGGGTGCCAGAGAGCGCTCTGAGGGGGAGAGGGGCCCTTGGAATGAACCACTTGATCAGGCCACACCACTCTCTTTCAACCACCTGATTTTGCGCGCTCTGGAAAGAGCGCTCGAGAGCACGCAGAAAGAACCATGCGAATTCGCCAATAGTGAGCACACCAGCATGATCTCGTACTCGATCAAACGATGTGCGAACGTGAATCGTGCAAAAAACTGCGAAGCCGCAACGCCGCGGGGTGAGCGAGCCAAGCGAGCCGTGAGGCTGTTCCAGCGGCCTCCGGAGTGGCTCTTACGAGAAGTGCCGTCGCCCCCCGGGAGTCGGGCGCAGCCTCCGTGCTCTGTTCACCGCCGTGCATTCGGGTTAATTTGCGAATCGCTACCAATAATATTCGTTTGCGCAAATAAAAAATAATTAATTTGTAAAATGAGCGCACAAAACAGTGTAGTGCTCGGGGTACAGCCGGCTGAACTGGTAACAAGCCGAGGTGTCCATGATATCGCGATTGTTTCGTTTTTGCCAGCAGTGGAATGCTTTGGTTCGATTATAAGTCGACCCCCCCACTTCAGATTTTCAAAAATTGAAAAAAGGGTCGACCTACATTCGTGTAAATACGGTAATTCTGCCATACAAATATATTTTTAGCAAGACTTGTCCTTGTCCACTCCTTCATGTTTGTCCTCTGTGTTTGCACGTACAAAATCACTAAATATTAAAGGTGTGCGAATATTAAAATTTTCGACTATGAATATTTGAAAAAAAATAGCTTTGAATATTGATTATGTTTCGAACGTGTGTATAATTGAGAAATAAAAAAATAAAAAAAAAAGCAAATACATTCTTATTACCTTCCGAACCAAAAATGATAACAAATTCAAGTAAATGAAACTACCCGACTAGGCAGCAAATTGTCACGAGTGACAAATGATGAGGCGTCAAATGACTAGAGAAACTAAATGTGTAATGGGGCGAACTTGTGCTTAAAACAAAATAGAAGAAGGTTAGCGTCGCAGGCATCGATGGCGGCGAAACAGCAGGATCGAACGCTGGGGCGAGACTGACTCCGGCTTGCCATGTGCAGCCCCTTATATATGTACATACGTTGGGTTCTGGAGCAATCGGCATAGAAGGTTCGGCGTGTAGAACATTCTAACCTCGAATAAGCGACAGGGTTTTCGAATTTACTAGAATGCAACATTTACAGAAGTAGCAAAAGGGCGCATCCACTCCCAGGCATCGAACATTAAGCCCTTTGCGTAGGAACCAAGAACAATAACCATTTGGCTACGGGCATACTTGGTCGGAGACGTGCAAGTTGGATGTCAGCTACAAATGCAATTAATGCGCAAATTATCGTGCAAGCAAATTAATTGTTCCAGATGTTCAGTACATAAGCGCTCCCTTTTTCGCAGTGACAACTGCTCCTGCAGCAGAAATTATAAGGTCGTTAGACAAACCAAAACTGTTCCTTTGTCGTCAGCTAATACATATCTGTTTGCACAGTTAACGCACACATTTTTCCCCAAAAAACGGTGCCCAAAAATATATGCATGTTACAATCAAAATCGGAAACCGAACTAAAAAAAAAAAGGCAGTACTCGGTATAAGGTGACTAGTCCCATCACCATCGTGACCGTTTGTTTACGTTCGCAATTTTGTTAACCGTATCGGGCGAATTATCTTGCGTCTACGGACTCGTGTCTGTCGTTAAGATGAAAACAAAATGAAAACTCCACTACCGTAATATCTCAAGAGATAGCCTACCTAAAAGCGAGAGCAAATTGGCTGAAAATGATGGTTGGGCTAACTTTCGGTGTGCAATCAAGAACATTTTTAACCGGTTTTCACATTGAAAGGCAAGGGAGCATAGAAAACTGTGCTTTACAGTTTGCAATGTTCACTTATTCCCCACTGTGTCCGAGTAACAGCAATTCTGCCGAGGTCACCATGGGCCGGAGCCCTGCAATTACTGGAGGGGGGCTACATCTTTCAATGTTTTTGAAAGAATAGCAAATGGTGCCAAAAATAAGGGCGGGTTATCTTTGGGGATGGGCGCATCTCTTGGGATACTGCGGTAATAGGAAGCTTTATTTAAATGAAAGGCCATCACGCTGGCAGGAAAAGATAACAACGGAGTAGCACTGCGTGGCCACGCAATCCCAGCAACCCGACGAGCTCGCAAAGTGTTGTTTTAAAAGTGCACCATATTTTCAGTCACCGAGAGTTGCAGTGGCGCACCTATTAATTTTGTTTCTCGCAACCACCGCCAGGGTATTATTCGTGGCTTCTGGCTGGCCACATTCAAATCTGTGAAAATGCCCTGGAATACACCCAGCCCGCTCTCGGCCAATAGCACCTGCTCATTTGCCTCCTGTACTTTCCAATGAATGGCCAAACTTTGGTTCAGCCGTATCTCCATTCATCCATCTATCCGATGGACTCAGTATATAAATCCTAACCGTCGTATCATTGCATCATCCATCGTACATGCTACGATGTATGATGCAACATACCATTAATCGTATGTTGCATTAATGTTCCCGAGTCGTGCTCCTTCATTTTTAGTCAAAATTTGTTCCTAAATTAAAATAGTTTTCTGGGTGCAATTTTAGATGTTTCACAGTAAAGTTCTATTCAATACTTTCCAAGGCTTGTAGTCGAAACCTAGTTTTCTTGAATTGTAACTCATGGCACAACTTGACTAAGATGCTTTTTTTAAAATGATGTCACAGTTACGCCTAAGGTGCTCCAAAACTCGGCGTTTCTGTTCTTAAAGTGCTCCAAAATGTAGACTTTTCTACTCCAAAAATTTCTCTAAAATTAGTTTAGTTCACCACGGCCCTGTACATTGTGAAGACTTCTCAAAGTTTCTCAGAGTCCTGTTCCTTTCATTCTTTTTTTGCAATATTTTTACACATTTGAATTGCGTGGCTGGCGGAGCTTGTGGCGCAGGTGTTTGGCAGCCAGCCAACTCTCTCATCGATTGTGGCCGTCATAGCACGCTTCACTTTTAAAGTCTAGATCAAAGTTAGCTTCATTAAAGGGGCACTGACACCCCAAAGGTCGTATTCTTTTTTATTTTCTACAACGATGCAAGTTGTAGTCATAGACACGCAAAAAAAAAACGCATCGCAAAAAAAAATTTCCTTGCGCGCGTGCGCGCCTTTTTATTTTTGGCGTTTATATTTCCCGCGCTAACCTCCTTGCTTCTTTTGATCGATGACGTCAAAAATCAGGAAATTTAGAAGCTTTGTAGGCGACATTTTTATAACATTTAATAACGGCAATCGTAAAACATGTTTTTTAACGCATTACGAACGTACTACGGCCTTTCTTTTTGAAATACCAAAAATCAGATTTCGGTGTGTTGTCGCTTCCTGAATTTGTGTTCTCCCTCGGAAACCTTGGCGGCGCTCGAGCAGAGGCTTTTGCAGAGGCCTCGGAAACCGGATTTTCCCCGCGCCGGCTCCCTTCTATCCCGCCTGTTCACCTCCTCCTCTCTTCGGGTGGCGGTAGCAACTGCGCTTTGCTTCACAGCGTGGTGCGGAGGTCCGAAAGAAAGTCGAGTCGCAGGAGACCGCAAAATTTGACTCACTGCGCTGGCGCGGATCGCGCGGGAACTTCAAATTCGGCATTTGGAAATTGTTTTTTTAATTCACAAATACTGAATTCCCAAGTTTCGAATTTTGAGGGTAATGTCCCGGCATCATTTTCAATCGTTTCGGATAATAAAATAAATTACGATTTTGATGTGTCAGTGTCCCTTTAAGAATGCAGTTCTGCATTAAAAAAAGAGTGCACGTGCTCGGCAAAAGCCCGGAGTTCGCTCCTTCAACGCCCGCTAGAGACACGTACAGCATCTCACTCGAACCAATCTTTGTTTCATCGCACGATATGACCCGCGGGTGTTACTCGGATCAATAGGGTGTCTGAAATAACGAGGCTCGATCTGAACTAGGCTGTAACAATCGCCGCCTGCGCGTAGCAATCTAAGCGTTTCGTCAAAGGTGTATTTCATAGGTCGGTTTTATCTTGTAAAACTACAAAGTGTAGCTCCTTTTCTGTAAAAAATAGGGCCAAAAAACTTGCCAAGGGTCAATGGTGGACGGCGATGCAGACGACCGCGACGAGTGGCGGGGTGCGTTGGGCCAGTGGTCGGCATTTTAGGTCGCTTTCACTCACCCTCACAGCCACACTCACCTAAGCCCCTCACTCACCCTCACAGCTGCACTCACCCTCATCCTCACAGTCACACTCACCTTCAGCCCTTCACTCACCCTCACTGAACCTCACGCCACTCACCACCCTGCGCACTCATACTCCTCATGCCCCTCGCCGCCCTCACAGCCCTCACACACTCATAGCCCTCACGCCACGCAGGCCCGCTTCAGACGGGGCAATTTCGCTCAGAAACTAGACATCGTTACACCAGCAACACGGGCCACCCGCATTCACACGCAGCAACCAATTGCTGCAATTTTCCATCATCATCATGGAATTTTATTTTTCTTGCACTATTTAGACACAGAACTACACGCTATAAACATGTTTTTATGCATTTAAATCTCTGTTGAGAATACTAATGCAACTTTCTGAAACAGTTTATTTCTAAAAACAATCAATTTCAAACCAGAACCAAGTCTTTTGTTGCCATCATCACCGACACGAGGTATCACATGAAAATATTGCGTCCCTGATTGGATGTCGCCTCTTCAAACGTCTTCGAATTGCTCCGAGTTGCTCGCTTGTTTCGAGCCGGAGCCGCTCTCAACAATTTGTGTCGATCTATAGGGAAAGCTAAAGAACAACCCACCAGCAACACCAAAATTGCTGAGAAAGTTGCTCCGTCTGAAGGGGGCCTACGCACTCACCGCCCTCACGGCCCTCATGTCACTCACACACCACCGCCCTCACGCCCCTCACACACTCATGGCCCTCACCGCCCTCACGGCCCTCATGCACTTATGGCCCTCACACCACTCACGCACTCACCACCCTCACACCCCTCACGCACTCACCGCCCTCATGCACTCACCGCACTCATGGTCCTCACATCCCTCACGGCCCTCACTCACACTCACACTCTAGAATTTTCCTTGTTCGGAAACTCACTCACCCGCACCTCACCTGTGAAGATGAGGGTGAGTGAGGGTGAGTGGGCCCTCATGAGTGAGGTTTGCCGAGGTATGCGTTGGGCGCACATAGTGATAGATAGCGTCAGTAGGTGTGGCCAACCAGCGAAAGAAAGCAGAGGGCAGGCAGACAAAATCCGTCAGCAGCAAGAGCCGTCATTATGCAACTACATTTTGTTTTAATTTTTTTTACTTCAAGTTTTGCTTTTATTGTTTGCATTCATTTTTAAATTAAAGGGACATTACAAAAAGATTATGATGATTTTATTAGACCTCGGTTGTTGCGAGCAGTCTTGGTGAGGAGGTAGTGTCATCTATCAATACATACACCGAACATGCCCTGCCACTTGACTCGGTCTTCTGCGTCGCCGTCCGCCATTGATCCTGGCAAGTTTTTATGCCCTATTTCTTACAGAAAGGGAGCTATGCTTTTTTAATTTTGCAAGATAAAACCGACCTGCGAAATACACTTTTGACGAAAAGCTTAGATCGCTACGTGCAGGTGCCAATTTTTACGGCCCATTTGAGATCGAGCCTCGTTATTTGAAACACCCTACACTTGAGCAAGGTGTTCTGCCGCCAATCAGTGAGGAGACGAGTGCCGTGTCAGCGTTCGACTGGCACTCGCATTTTGTTGTTCCGTCACTGGAATGAGAGCCAGAAACGGTTAGGGGCCAGCCATATCACCCAGTTGATGCATTCCTTCTCAGGCTGTACAAGTCTCTGGGAGACTACGACACTGTTCGGGCGACCCTGTCCTGCTCCGAAGACGTGGACGCAAAAGCCAAAGAGGCGCTCCAGAAGGAAGCACAGGGCGACTACTCGGGCGCCAGAGACGCCTACCGCAACCTCGTGTCGAGCGGCTCCATCTGGGACGACGCCGTTCTCCAGTGTTGCCGACTTCTCGGCGAGTGGACGGAGCTGCAACGGGAGGTGGACTCCAGACTGGCGCGAAGTGCCGGCAACAAGTGGGACCGCCTGTGGGACGGCGGATACTCGGAGGAGCACTACCTGCCGCTGTACGTCAAGAGCCGGGTTAAGACAGCATTGGAGCTTGGAAGCGGCGAGGACCAATTCTTGGAGTCGATCCGGCAGTGGTTGGAGGACCCGGCACGGAAGCGACTGCTCGAGGCGGAGTGTGTCGAGGAACTGGTGCTGCTGTTTCTGCTGCAGAAGGACATGGGCAAGGCGGACTACTACGTGCGCTGCTTTGCGGAGCAGTTTCTTGAGGTGGGCCACCGTTTGCGTGAAAAGTCGTTTATGATGACTTTTTCTCAGATTAGCGTTAAAGTGTGGCCAATTGCATTGCAACCGATTGTGACCAAGGGGTGACACCACCTTCAAGTGTCGACTTTTAAACCAGTTGCTCAATATTGATAAAATTTGGAGGGTCTATTCGTCTCGTTGCCTTAATGCACTCTATGAATTTCCATCTTGTAGGACTATTTTTTGATAAGCTACAGGGGGAGGTACACAGCAGTGTTGCGGAGTTGCCACTCCGGAGTTGGAATGATTCCGGAATCATTCCGCATTTTCACGACCTTGGAATGGAATGGGAATGGAATGGCGGCAACGTTGAGGGGAACGGAATGGGAATGGAATTAGGTGCCTTTTGCCCGGAATGGAATGGGAATGGAATGGGCACGGTTCTTCTTTTTTTCTTTTTTTTTAGTGTTTACGGTCAGTTAAACCGAGCCAGTCAACGAGTCAGTTGCTCAGAAATAAAAGGAGGAGGAAACTGCTAGCCCGCGTGGAGCCCTAGCAGACTTATAAGCAAAAAAAAAAAGCAATACTACAAACAAGCGTCAAATCGAAGAGCAAAGGGGGGTAACGTGGCGCCTTTCACGGACGCGCAGGCATCGGGCTTCGATGGCGTTACACGAGAGCGAAACAAGAAACCAAGCACCAAGCAAAAGAAAAGGGAGCGGCAAAGAAAGAAACCGCCATGCACAACTCCTCATCGAACTTCTTGTCATGCTTCTTTTGTTGTTGTTGCAACGGTTTGTGGAATGCACGCGCGCGCACAGACTGAGATCTGGGAGCAGGAGCGACTCATAACTCGCAGAGCTCAAATAACTCGTTGACTTGGGCGGCGCCGCAAGATGATCAGGTATTGTTTTCTTATAGTTCGAGGAGCGTTGTTTAGCATGCAGCCAACCCTGCTGCCTTCCACGTTCATTCGTGCGCACTCCTTTGAATACGAAGTCTGGGTTTGCTTCGGCATTAAAACAAAGCAAGATTCACTTCCCTCTTCTCCTCTTGCACTTTGCTCCGAGGCTCGTTTTTTTATACCGCATTTGTAGTGTAAGTCCGCCTTTTACCTGGTCTTTGTTCCGATGCTTGTTTTTTTTGTTATATGTTTTAGGGGGCTGGGGTTACAAGCAAGCTAGCGGATTCCCGCTCATTTCCTTTGACTTTAGTCTTTGCATACTTCGTTTCACCTAGCGATGGACTGCTGCGGACGCTACAAGTCACCCTAGGCAATCCAGTACCGTGAGTGGGACTGCAGGGTCACGCGACACCCAGAAGGCACTGGATTGGTTTCGATGACTCTCGTGCTCTCTGTTGAGGCCCATCGTAAGGTGAAGTAAACTATCGTCACCGCTCTTGGTGTGACCAAACTGACAAGACCTGCAAAAAGACCGTCCTGCGCCAGACGAGGCGCAACCGTTGCTGTGAGGGCAACTGAGAAGGAGAGCTGGGTGCTAGCTGCCACTGAGGTTTTGGCTTCCGCGCGTCTCGGCTGTCCGGTCTGCATTCGTGCTCCTTGGCCTGGACCCTGTCTGAAGCGGTGAGAAGTCAGTTGGACGGTAGTGTAGAGGAAACACGGGGAATGTCAATTCGGACGGTGCGTTAATACCCCGTGAATTGTATCTTGATGTGAAGAGCTTTGTCAACGCTGACTGCCCGACCCGTCGCCACAACGCGAAAAGCCGACACCGAGGTAGAAAAGTGAATCGGTTGGTGCCGTCTGCTGCCTGAAACCGCCACTCGATCAGCGCGAAGAGGAACATCTCAATTCGTACGAGAAGACAAGATAAATACAGTTCGAGTCATGGCATCGTGGAAGACATTTTTCGACATTAGTCGCGAAGAAAATAAACAAGCTGCGCGCTGAAAGTTGTGCAACGAAACTATACACGGTGCAGTCGGCGTATATCATCGAACTTTATACGCCATCTGAAGAGGAAACACGAGAATGAGTATGCGAAGGGTGGAAAGGGGCAGGCGAATCAGCCAAAAATTGAATTGAATACGATAAGAAATATCGAGATTCGTAAAGCAAGCGTGAACTTATGCTTTTTAGAACAGGTTTCATGACATGGTCTATACGGTCCCTCGTGCTGCGCCGCAGAGGTTGCATTTTGTCAGAGGATGGGCCCTTGCCGCTGTGCACGGAGTCGCTTCCAGCAGTGTACTAGCCGTGTTGCTGTATTTGAAGAATACAGTAATATAGCTTATTTCTGCTCCACGCACGAACTGGATATTTTTATGGTCTTATCAAACGAACACGCTGGCCGCGTATGTTTTAAAAGTCAAATGCAAAAAAGTTAAAAAAAGGAAAGAAAATGAGTGGATTGAAGTTTTGCTGTTTGTTGCGAGCCACGTGGTCGCGAGACCGATGTCCTAAAGAAGCATCGACATATCAAGGGGCTTTCTCGATGTTTAAAGTTCATTGTAAATAAACACTTTGTGCCACCAGCGGTCCGCTTAGTAAAATCAGTGCTTTTTTGAGGAATTTTGCTTTTTTTTTCTGCAATTATCTCTGCATTTGATAATGTCAGCTTTGCTGCTTATGCCGGCAACACAATGTAGCTGTCAAGTGCCAATTTTTACGTTTAGGAATTAAAGGAATGGAATGGAACGATTCAGTCATTCCAGGAGTGGGAATGGGCCCAGTGTCTCCATTCCTAGGAATTGAAAGGAATTGAATTATCGAAAACTCTAATTCCCCGGAATGGAATTGGAATGGAATGGGGGTGCCCATTCCGCAACACTGGTACACAGCTATTGATGTAAGTCACCTCACTTGGCAATGAAATCTATCGTATAAAATTGCTGGAGAATATTGAGCATTTCTAAGCTTCAGCTTTAACTAGAATATATGGTGAGTGGGGCTCTCTATTTTTTACCTTAAAATCTGTTTTTTTTCTATGCAAAATGTCAATTTGAACAACATTCCACATGATTGCGGCATTTTCTCCTCATCAAAACTCTAGTTTTTGGCAATAAGAACTTTATTTAAATAGAAAAATGAATATCTAGCCCCCTTCCTCATTAAATTTCAGTTCAGAAACATCCACAGCAAAGAATACTTTCAGCGATTCATTGAAATGATAGACTTCCTAAAACGGAAGTTGCTGCAAAAAAGTGGAACTGAGAAAAACCCGTTTGAAGTTCCCACACCACTGCACTTGCTTTTACTGGTGGTTGTGGCAACTAAAAGGCACCAAGAGCGTAGATGGTGCCTTCTGCTTACACCCAATCTCCATCACGGCCTTGCTGAGCAAGTCCGAGCTTAAAATGCTTAAAAGGTGGACATTGATTGTGAGATGAGTGAGGAATTGGGTACGCTTGCAGTATGCGAACCAACATCAGCAAGTATAGGCAGGGCAAACATCAACAAAATACAAAGCAGACAAACCCACGTGACTTTCTAAATATGAATGCTAGTTTTAGTCAGTTTTGTGTTCGATCAGGGTGGGCTTTTCGATTCTTGGCCATATGTATAGCCTCTTCTACATGAAAGCTGGACTTCTATGGCGTTCCTGCCCAAATAGAGTTTACTCTCGAACGAAGGTATTTAATATACTGAAACTGAAGAAATGCTCCTTCTAACGAGAGTATGATTGTCATTCTAGGACATACTGGTGCAAAACTACAGCAGTTTGAAACTGGGAAACAGAAGTTTCACATTTTAAAAACATGTGATTTTGCGTCGTTGGCTTAGCGAAAATGTTTTATTTCACCGTAAATACTTCAGATATTGCAATAAATATCTGTAGGAGTATGCAGTATTAGTTGTGGAACCACAATACATGAAAATAGGAAAATTCGTTTTTTTACTCAAAAATTGCAATTTTAAGGTGGTGCCCCGCCCTTAGCAACACACTACGGCCATCTTTCGGCTAGCCCTGGAAGCGATCCAAGTATGGTCAGTGACAGGTTCCCAGTGGCTGCTTTGCCTCCAGCACGCTCTCCATGACTTCTGCGGGGCTTTGGCTGTGCGTGCGGCCAAGTGTTGTCAAAGGCAGTGAGTTCACGCGTGTGGAACGTCTAGCGTGTTCTCACCCTCCGTGAGAGCAGCGAGGCCATCTTGAAATCATGCGACCTGGCCGCCATGGGCTGGCTTCAACTCGTTGGCCCGCTGTCCCCTCCGTGCTGCGGCAAATCCGTCGTGTTGGTATTTTTCGTCCTTGTCGTCCCAGGCCTATATTTACTACCTAATTGCATTCCCTTATTACGAGTGTAACTTCCGCAGTTAATTTTGTAACACAATTTGACTATTTCCATTGTCGACATACCGGCTAGGTGCGAGGAAGATCGAGTGGGCACGAGAATCAATGTTACCACCGACGCACATTAAGTATGTAGAGCTCTCTAGGACAGCACGAGGGTTCAATGGCTAATTGCTTACGGCAACTCGGTGATTGTGGTTTGAACATTCGAAATAAGAAGCCCTCGTTGTAAGCGGTCGTAAGTGTTTGCGACACACTTGGGGACAGTCAAATGCAAATGTGTGAACCAGCCTCGAGTCTGACCGACTGCGTTACGACTCCTTGCATACGATGCCCTGCACGGAGTGGAAACGTCCTGGTGCCAGCGTGCGAAGAGAACTCGAATGCTTCCGATCCTGGAGTAGGCCGAAGGTTTTACAGCATTTGCAAGTTCAATTCTATGTGCAATCTAAGAGATATGGTCACTTAAATTACTGCCAGAATTGTTTCTAGCCCACGGTGAAAGAATGACGGATAAAAATAAGGAAACATTTATGAAGACCGAAAGTGGGCCAGGGATCCCCTGTAGATGGCGCTAGTGTGTTATCTTGTCTTGAGCGGTCGTAAGTAGCTGTAATGCTGCCGGTCACACTTGGACGGAAGTGTTTGATCCAGCCTTAAGTATTTATGATTGCAACTGTCGACCGCGCTGGGGAACAAACTGCCAAATGGCATCGTTACTCTTTCCGACGCAAAAGATTTCAGAGGTGGGCTTAAAACACGTGACATTGCCAAGTGGCGAGTTGCATCTTGTTTGTGCAAATCTTCCTCTTTTACAGCGACAGCCATTAATGGCAACCTTCCCGGGAAACTGTGTGGGTCGCAGGAATCCCCGGTGACATCATCAATCGCACGATTGCTCCCATCCATTGTACCTGAGGCTCCATGGTGCGCCCGCCGTTAGATACAAAAATTCCGTCCGTTGAACCCAATTCGAACCAGTGATCTATGGACGACAGAAATTTTTTTCGATAGTCAACCACTCTACCAACAGAACTAACGAAGGAACAGGTTTTAGCGAAGTAAAGGTGGTATGTGCATTTAATTTCTGTCTACCTTTAATAATGTTTCGGAGCCGCGTGGGCCTCAACCTTGCATTTAATTCAAGCACGGCGAAAGGCAATTGGCGCACGCTGGAGGCCGGACGTTAGAAAGAGACGTGGAGAGAAATTGAGGGAGAGGAGAAAACGAGAGTGTGCGGGGACTTCGGAACACCGACCTCTGGTTGGTATGATTAGGAGCTAGATGCAAAAACCTTTGTCTCCACCCATCCTTCGAACACGTTCTAAAGCAAACGCAAGACGTCGACGTTCGCATTTGAACAGTGAGTAGAGACGAATGCAGCTAGCTTTGCATCTAGCCCCTAATCATTCCAACCAGAGCTCAACGTTTAAAAGTCTCTGCGCACTCTCGTTTCCTCCTCTTCCTCAATTTCTTGCCGTATACACCAGCACGCTGTTGACAAACAAACCCACGTTTTCTCAGACCAAGTGTGGGCACTGTGCAGAAACAAAATTCACGGGACGTGAAGCGTCTGCACACGTGCTGTACCCGCAACTGTACCACCGCAGCAGCGCGACGTCAGAGCCGCGTGTTGGTGTATTTAGTTGTAGCAACACCAGAGAAGACCCGTGCCTCCTTCCGAATATCATTTCTAGTGAATCAATGCAGACCCACGTAGCCGGCGTCAGCATCAACGCAGGTGCTTCTAGTAGCGTCTCGCAACTGGTGCCACACCAGCATGCGGCTATGCCAAGACAGACGTGGCTACAGCTTTGCAGCATCGTCCGTCCAACTTCGGAGTATTTGCCGTTTGGGGCGCTTCGAGGATTAACTAGCGAGGAAGTCGTGTGCAGGACTCATCTTCTAAGTGGTATTGAGCCGACACCCCATTGCGCCGGTGCATGCGCACTGCCATCCAAACAGACAAACTTGCATGCCACACGGGTAGACCTTGGAAAACTTGTAGGCAGCCCGAACAACGCTACTATCGGTTACAGCATGCCGAGGAGACTCTTCATAAAAAGAGTACTGATGAGGCACGGAGCAGAATCAGAAGCAGTAGCAAAAATGGCACGAAAATTTTCTGAATCGTACTCGGGGGGCGGCACAAACGACAACGACATCTTAGTGATGGAAAATTACGTGAGCACCGAGCTGCTGTTGCTGTGACACACGTTACATGCGTAGATGCCCTCAGATTTTGGTCTCTTCTCTTACATGAAACTTGTTAAGCCTGAAGCTTGCGCTAGTTGACGCCTGTTTGCTGGTATATATTCCGTGTACTTTACGATACATACTTCAGTTGCATTGGTGTTAGTGAACATCCTGTGACTACCGTTTGTCCCTTTTTGTTGGTGTCCGTCAGGAGTGGAGCGGCCTGAGCGTTCTGACACCAGCCCTGCTCGAAGGGAAGCTGGAGTCGCTCATGGTTTTGTCCGATCTTGCGGAATACGTCAAGCACCACACCCGCCGCGGTAAGTTTGCAAATTTATTAATGCGGAATTGCATTTTTACACAATTAGAGATGATAGTGTGGTGCCTAAAATGCATCTCCCACTGGACCCTTAAAAGTCTCGATTTCTGCCCGATGACCTCGTAGAAGTGCCGCCATCCCAGCGGTGTCGCAGCGACAGCAGATACCGGTATTGCTATAGCTTCAGCAGCCACAAGTTGGGACTCCACAGTGACAGCGACACTCACACTTGCTCCTACTTTTTGTGTTGACATCTTGCACCAACCACGTGACATTCGACAACATGACAGTGGGTTTTCTGATGTCATTTGTTGCCACTTCAGGTTTGATGTGTGGGCGGGGTAGGGTGCTAAGCAAGCTAGTTGAAGACACGTTCCAGGCACTGTATTCAGGCACTGTATTGAAGACACGTTCCAGGCACTGTGGCTGGCAAAGCTTGGCCAAGGCCAAGCTTTGCCAGCCACACTACGCAACTGTGGAGAAAAAAAGATGTTTCTAGTGCCATGGCACCGGGGTGGCACTCTGCTTTCTGTTCAGCGTCTGCCCTTGAGCACAAGATGGACGGGTAGCGTTAGGTACCTTTAGCGCTTTCGTAAAAACATGCTCGCTGTCCTTGAAAGAGTAGCTGAAGACCAGTGACTGAGCTGTTTCTAAGCAACACTCAAAATACAGTTAGAGTGTCCCACTTAAAAATATTGTACAGATCCGCCGTATCTCTTACTTGCTATTCTGCATATAACTGCTTGATCGATAGATTTAAATACATCTGCCAATTTTTTTATTTATTTATCGAATATACCCTCGGGGCCTGAAGGCATATTGCATTATACAGTTGACTTCCGTTAATTCGACCTTGAGGGGAGTCGTGAAATAGGGTCGAATTATCCGAAAGTCTAATTGAGAGATGTGTGCAAAACTCTGAATATGCAACGCTTTGGACCAGGTGGGCCAACATTTTTATATTGACCCATCGCACACCGCCGCAGAGTGGCACGAGTGGTGACCGGCGTCCGGCTCTGCCGGCGGTGGCAGCCGCCACCGGTGCCGTTGCAACATGACTGCGAAGCAGCGCTCGCTGCGAAGGCAGTGTTGCAATGGTTGTTTTGGTGGTCTGCACCGCCGCTGCCTGCAACCATTGCAACACTGCTGCAAAGCAGTAATGGTTGTTTTGTGTCAAGACCCGGCCGTGTCCCATGTCTCAACATGCACTCTCTTTTTCTCTCTTTTCGCTATTTAGCGCGCACTTGAAATATGAAAATGGTTTTTTTGTGACGGGTGCGGCCAATCGCGCTCGTTGCACGGTTGATCGCCAATCGCGGCCGGTGGGCACGGACGGTCCAATTAACCAATATTTTATATTTCAAGATTGAAATAACGAGTCGATCCTCGATCGTGGCCCCTTTTTTTTTGCAAATCAGTCACAGAGGATATAATTGCGGCCACTAAATTTCGTGATTTCCAGACGCTTGCATTGAAACTCTTAAGCATACCTGCCAACTCTTCCGAATTTTTTGTAAAATGTACGAATTGGGACTAATTTTACGAATCTTGCTTCAAATCTTACGAAAAATATATATATATATTTTTTTTTTTATTTTTTTGTTGTTGTTTTTGTAAATCCGTTGTTGGCGGTATCTTGCACCGCCACAAGAGGGCGATAGGTACCGTCCACAGCAGCGTCGTGGTTTTTACTATCCGTCTATCCGGTGGCCACGGATCGAAAACCAATCCAAAGCTCAAAGCCTTTGTTTGTGTGTTTGGCGGTGCACAGGTGCACGTTGGTTCGGCATGTTCAGACGTTGTTGGGCCTCGTTGTTTCGGCCAGTTTGAGGCGAGAAGTATGGAGTCTGTGTTTGTTGCACGTGTAACTGTAGCATTCTCCTGGTCACTGTGGCTTTGCGGCGCAATGCCGAACTCCAAACCTCAAAAGAGGTACTTTCAGGTGTTCCTGAAGTCCTACACGTCGAAATTTCCGTGCTTCGTGCCGCCCAAAAAGCGAGAGAAGTTTGCATTGTGTAGCACGTGCACGTGTGATGTAAGCGTTTCACACGCTGGTCAGGCTGACATTAAACTGCACATCGCTTCGCGTACCCCCCCCCCCCCCCCCCCCCCCCCCCCCCCCCCCGCCGCAGCCGCGCAACTTTTACGAATTTGAAAGTCCACAGGTTGGCAGGTATGCTTAAGGACCGAAATTTTCATGTGCCCTTGAATTTCACTAATTCTTTAATTCGCCGAGTTCGCGAAAATTAGGGGCTCGCAAGCATTAAGTATTTTACAGTAACGCAAGTTAACTGTACAGTATAACCTCGTTACAACAGATCTGGTTACAGCAGGCATTCGATTACAACATACCGATTTGTGACCAGTCATAATCCACCTCAAAGTCTCTAGTAAGATTGTCCATTCTGGATTCCTGTTACAACAGACCAAAATCTTCATCACTATCAAGGTCTGTTATAATGAGTTTATACTGTAGGGGGGAAGAGAAGATACAATAAGAATAGGTAATAAAACTGTAATGGGTTAACAATATAATAATATAACAACAAACAAACAATGAAGCAGGCCGTGGATCATTGCAAAAATGGTTAGTAATAGCATTTCGTATGGTAAAGATATTGTTCCACTATTACAGCGATAGCTGTCATGGGCTCTTTTTACCGCTGGAAATAATGTCTGTTGTTGATGTTGTTGATGTTGCGGTTGTAGTAGTTGTCATCGTTGATGTTCCAGTTGGTGATGTACCCTACATCACCAACTGGAACATCAACGATGACAACTACTACAACCGCAACATCAACAACATCAACAACAGACATTATTTCCAGCGGTAAAAAGAGCCCATGACAGCTATCGCTGTAATAGTGGAACAATATCTTTACCATACGAAATGCTATTACTAACCATTTTTGCAATGATCCACGGCCTGCTTCAACGACGGACACCCTGTCCGTCGTTGATGTTTCTAAATCCTCGAAAAAGATCGCCCGCCGCCTGCGGGAATTGAGCTGGGTCTGCTGCATGCGGAGTGGAGGCCTTACCACTGAGCTATGCCAGAGCGTTAATAACCCACTCTAAACTTAGGGTTTTCGTGGTACCCAACGCCAATTGCACGCATGCTCTGGAAAAAAAAAAATAGCACATAACAAAATGCCATTGTAGCACCATTAATGCCAAGAGCTCATGCTGGGAGATGCGCTTTTACATGCTCTGGAACAAAAAAAAGAAACAAAAGTGTTTGGAACCAAATGGAACAAAAGAAAAGCATTGGAACAAAACAGATGTCTAGTTTGTTCCCGATGCTTTCGTTCACGCACCCCACCGCCCCACGGCGTGTGAAGGTGACACCGATGCCCAACGACTTGGCCGTGACATGTCGCAGCTGTCGCTGTAACTTGGAAAACTTGGGACTGTGAATTTTTTTTATTTATTTGTCTATCTTCGAGAAAACCACATTCCTCTCGGGCACTCTAGCAGCAGATGGATTGATACAAATGAGTTTAACAAAGCCGCCTGGAAAAAAAAAAATTGTGCAGACGATCATGCGACATGATGTGAATGGACAGTGTTAGCTGGTGTGACGTTTCAATGATATTGTGTCACGATTGGCTGGAAGTTCCAGTGATGTTGTATTATTCGGTGTCTCGTGTGAACTGCAACCTCTCACACACTGAGCAGCTAGCCCCCAATCTTTGCTCGATAACATTCTCTTCTACATGCCTCAACCGCATACAGGTCGACCGCATACACGTACAGCATGATCTTAACATGGAATGCATTCCGTTCTAACACCCAGCACCTACGTCGGCACCTACACACGGGCGATGCTCTCTCACGGGCGCGTCTACGCTGCCAAGCAGCCGCCGCTTGCTCTGGCATATGCTACGGCCGCCCCCTTCTCGCGCGCTAAGGCTTAGAGCGCCGAGGGAACGGTGACCGAAGGCGAGAAAGAGAAGGTGGTGAGGAGCACGATTCCATGACCCACAGCACAATCACGACTGGCCTAAAGTGCCTCAACCGCGACTATTATCGGTGAAAGGGTATCACTGGAGTACTCGCCCTCTTCGGCGCGCATGCTCCGTTTGTTTTCGGCCACATGACACTCCCACGGTACAGCAAGCTTGGTACAACTGACGCTGTAAAAGGCTTTCTTGAAACACATCCTTATGTTTCACCAACGACAAGGCACGTGCAAATAGGGATTTTTGAGTGGAAATAGTGGTTTGGACCGAATATTATTAAAATCAAATGGCGAATTCGTTTCTCCAAACCTTTCACTACTTTGAAAAGCTGGAGATGACTGACGGAAAAGGGGACAAACACAAAACGTCTCAACAGCAAAACGGAGACGATGGGGGAAAAAGGGGACAAAGAACAAAATGTCTCTGTTGTTGAGACATTTCACGTTTGTCCCCTTTTTCGTCCATAGTCTCCGGTTTTTAAAAACTGTAACATAAACCAGCTTGCCTGTCTACTCACTCTATCTTTTTTCCCTAATGTTGCATCGTGCTTAAGAAAAAAAGTATTGGACTTGTGAAAATTATTCCCAGACTTCCACTTGTCCACTTCTAAGCTCAGTTAGTTTTAATTTAACTATATTTATGAACTGTGGCCTCAGGAAGTCCAGTGCCTACATTGGGGTGGCATGGAATTGACGGGTTTCACATAAAACTAAACGTATGCGGAGAGCAGGTCGTCTGCTTCTTGCGCGGGGGTTGCGGTGACGTCAAAACGACGCTGAGTTCTGATTGGCTCTGATTGGAAGGATAGGGGGTAGACCTTGACGCTAGATGCCTCGAGCTCTACTCACTAGTTTAGAGCGCAGCTCTTAGGCATCCGTTTATGGCTTGAGCGGTGTCGCCGTCACCACGGGTTGCATCATGGGACATTTCCCATAATGACGTCACGAGGGCAAAGTTCTCCTGCTAAGTTTGGCGGGAAACTTTTTCTGCCGAATTTAATGGGAAAATTTCCCTCTAAATTTCGGGGAAAAATTTTTCT